CAAGCACGTCTTGTGCGAGAAGCCCCTTGGCACAACGGTTGAGATAGTGAGTTCTTCTTTGTGACGGGCTTCACGTCATGCTAATATCTCAGTCTCAATCTGTTGTGGACGCCGCTGCTACCCGCCCCGACCTCAAAGTCATGTGCGGCTTTTCCCGCCGTTTCGACGCTTCATACCGCGACGCCTACGAGAAAACAAAGTCAGGCTTGATTGGCCGCCCATCTGTTCTGAGGAGCCAAACTTGCGATGTTCTAGACCCTTCAGGTTTTTTTGTCGCATATGCTCAGTTCTCTGGTGGTATATTCGTGGATTGCAGTATTCATGATATTGACCTAGCTCTATGGTTTTTCGGTCAAGAGTCCAAGGTTCGATCAGTACATGCTGTCGGAATTACTGCCGTGGAACCAGATCTGAGACAATATGACGATAGAGACAATGCCGTGGGTGTTGTCGAATTCTACGATGGCCGGATTGCGTATCTGTATGCCTCACGCATGATGGCTGCTGGTCAAGAGGATACAACCGAGATTATCGGAACTAAGGGCAAGTTGTCTGTAAACTTGATTCCAGTCGAGAACCACGTTCGAATTTATGGTCAAGAAGGTATCAGGCATGAGCTTCCTCAGAACTATTGGGGGCGATTTCAAGCAGCATTCACAAGAGAAGCTATCGAGTTTACCGACTGTGTGCTGGATGACAAGCCTGTGCCTGTTGAACTAGAATCAGCAGTAACAGCAGTGCGCATTGGTGCAGCTTTGCAACGGTCTATGATTATGGGGAATAAGATTCACTTTGACGAGGGTGGTAATGAAGTCAACAGAGCTCAATTATAATACAATGGCTAGAGCAACGTCGCAATACTAGTGTTATAAATAAAATATCCCGCTTACACTGGGCCACAATCTCAAATGGCTATTGCTGTCTCCACTACAGCTTTGACACATACTTCCCACGAGTCGCTTGAAAGCTAGGATTACCCATGACAAACTGACAAGTGGCCATCTGGCTCATAAGCCGGTCGCCTCTCAACCGTTCCATTACAACAGCCTCTCCAGCAAACATAACCTCTACATTACCATTATTCCATCGAGGTAAGAGGGTGATCTCCCCATGAGGCGGGATTCTACCAAGATAAGGCTCTCTAAAGGCCTCACAAGAACCAAGCTCGGGGCCCCAACTTGACAGCATAGCTGCACTTGCTCGGGTATGGTCTGTCACAAGTGCATCGATGGGCCCTTTTGGTATTAGGCCCGGATTGATAGGATGGGAATGAGCTATCTCGAGCATCTCTCGAAACGTTTCCTCGCTCCAGGCATTATTGCTGTTGCGAATTGCCACTGCTGCATGAGCCAGAGTCTTGGGGTCAGGTGAGATGAAGTCGCTCGTGCTCACAGACACAGGGAACAGATCCACGCAGGCAGGCATGTAGTTGTTGGGTAAAGGAGGCGTCAATCGACGACGAATGCTTCCAGCAAAAACAATCTTGCTAGTCTCAGGCAGAGGATCACGGCCTGATAAGCCCGGAGCATATTTGGCGCTAAAGAGTCGGTTCCATGCAAAAGCAGTCAAACAATCCGTAGACGACACTTTTGAGCCCCTTGGCAAGACCTCTTGGATCATGTGTTGAAGCTGCTTTGTGGAGGACTGTGTGAAGGTCCAAACAGAACAAGAGAGAGTGCGAAGTTCATCTTCGGTAAATCTCACTAGATCGTCATTGGTGAGACGTGCCTTAGTAAAGATGTTTGACACCTTCTCTGCAACTTCTTCTGGATATCGAGGGTCCAGCATGTCAAGGTGTTGAAGCTTCTCTGCGCGAGCTCCGAGCTTGGCCAGATCCTCCTCGATACCCACGTCAGGTGTCAAGAGAGAGCGATCTATCAAGTCCGCCGGTACTTGCAGCGGGAGTGGAGGTATAGGTTGACCATCGAGTCTGGCAGTTGCTATCGCATTCGTGTTCTGTGACCAAGACCTGAGAAAGTCCATAAACTGGACGAGGTCACCTATAACATGCGTGATCGACATGGTCAAGACGATACCGCCCTTGACGACATTGAACTGAGGTGCGATTACAGGATCACCATCTTGAACGTAAGGAAAGTCCGTTGGTCGGAGCTTGCCCAGACCATCTTCCTCGCCATCGCCAAACGGCCACCCATTAATCTTGAGCTCGGTGTAAGAAGGTACATTTGCATCGTGACGATGATCTCGATACCAGAAGTTCGTGCCAACATGTGGTGCCTCTTGAATCTCAATCGCGTAACGTCCAGTTTCATCTTTTCTGATAATGCCTGCGAGATGCGGATGCTCGTAGATACATCGGGAGAGCCCTTGCCTGCAGTCTTGGTAGAGCTGTCGAGGGTCCACTCCCGGTTGTAGAGGAAAGAAGTGTGTAGGCGAAGGATACACTGAAGCGGTGAGGTTGTCGAGGGCTGAGCACTTCACGATGGATGGCTGTATGGGGCCCGCTGGCTCGACCCATGAATCGGACATAGCTGATTCGTCGTTCGTGTTTGCAGACATTGATGCAGTAGAATTGTTTCTCCTTATTTCAAGAGATAAGTGACTGCTCTAAGAAAAGATGGTTTATCATTTTGTATGATGTCGGACTAGACACGTGAAAGCAATTACTCTTCTTTATTCATTGCTGCTCTATGATATCAACATGACTTTGACCTCCGTTTCAGCTTTATTATCACGAAAACCTTCATGTTTTCGCAATCTAAACTCAACACAGTAAGGACCGCGAAAATATTAAACGTACGATAAGAGGTAGATCATCTACCCTTTAGTGTTTCTTGCGTTACAATTACAAGCTTCGGAATGAAGTCTAAACCCTGCACAGCTGTGGCTCGGACCGCTCTTTTGTCACATCTCATTGCCGAATCATGTCTAAGCGATATCGCCTATCAGAAAAGACAGATACAACGTGCGCTTGGACAAAAAAGCGACAACCATACAGCTCCCCTCGTATAAGGATCTGCAGTCAAAGGTGGAGATCGCGCACAAGCTTTATCGGAATGTGTCAGGTAAACAAGACTCAAGACCCGAGCAGCATATCGTCTTAATCATGTGTTGGTCAAAGCGTAATACGAAATTACTTAGATTATCGCGAGTATGTGAGTCTAGACTGAAAGAATGCATATACTACAATCTCGGCATTTAGCACGCCCAACGCATCAGATATCATATTGCTTTGTACATTATCTGCCGAGGACATCCACGACTTCGTTCTAAACTGCTTCATCTTGCGCATGCGAATTTCTCAAGCTTTGACATTACCAACGCAGAATCCTTCGACATGTCCATTGCCATTCCATCTGTTCCATCCGCCTACTTCACCTCCACTGCCATTCAACCACAGCCAGACACGCATGGAAAGAGAGTCAAATTGTCAGCAATCGACCAGATCGCTCCAAGAGACTACATCTCATCATGCTTATTTTTTCCCGTATCACAAAATGCAGACAAGAGACATATCTTTCATCTGCTCGAGCGGGCCTTGGTCAACACGATCAGTGATATCCCAGAACTTGCATGTTCTGTACGACGGCCGATCGGAAACGATCGGGAAGAGGTTGAACTTCTATTCGATAGCCACCAAGGCGCCATACTCAATTACAGGGATTATACGGCACCGGAACTTCGGACTTTATGGAAGTTCGGTACGTTCCACCAACTGGAGAGAGAATATTTTCCTCTGAAAATCCCGAGACATATTGTCTTTGGCACGTCGGCAAAGCTAGTACCGGGTTCCAGTATTCCGGCATTGGTAGTTCAGTGCAACTTCATACCTGGAGGCCTTGTACTCGGAACCTGTCTGCATGTAAGTACACATTACTTGCGCGGTATATCCCTTGCTCCCCGTTACACTACTGCAGGCGATAGGGCTTGTGCAACACAAGCTTCGCGGTCCAATTGACAGGTACTGACTGATATACAGCATGTGGCGGGCGATGGTGCCTGCAACTTTATCTTGCACAAGACAATAGGCATGCACTTGGCTGCCATTACCAAAGGACTCGGCCTCCGAACTTTTCCAATCACGCCCCTCGAACGAAGCTCAGTTGTTGAGGGCGAACAGGGCGTGACTTTAGAAGAGTTTCCCGATTGGAAACTCACAGAGACATCTTCCACATTCTTGAACCCGACAAACTATGCGGCTGCCGAGGTTCAGTCGATCGAGCATGGCATATTCTCCATCTCCGGGGAGGATCTCTCTTTGCTCAAGAACCGTGTCTTGAAAGGCGCTACCAACACCAAGTTAAGCACAACTGAAGCTATATGCGCTTTTCTCTGGCGCCACGTTGTCCTTGCCCGGCAGATAGACCACCATCAATACCCAGAGGCTAAGCTATCAATCACTGTCGATTCAAGGGAACGAATGGAACATCCGCCACTCCCGTCTAATTATTGGGGGAATTTCGCAGAGCCGAACGCAGTCGCCAGAGCATCTGTTGCTCATTTACAAAACGAACAAGATAAACCCGAGATATATGTAGAATTGGCGAGCAGTGTCAAGCGAGCCATTGCGGCTGTCAACAACAAAGCAGTAAGGCGTCTGGTTGGACTGCTCAACCAGATGCCGAAGAGTACTTCCTTGACCTGGAATGTCGACCGATACCCGGGACCGGACATGCTAATAGTCTGTCTCCAAGCACATAGATACAACGATATTTATTTCGGGCGTGACCTTGGCTATCCTTCTGCATTTCGCGTTACTGTTGGGGATACTGAGGGCAAACCTGACGGTCGCTGCATTATTCTGCCACCGCGTCATACGGAAGGTCGGGGTCTGGAGCTGATCTTACAATACGATAGTGGCACTCTGGAGAGACTTGAGAACAACGTGGAATTTAGCAAATTCTTTATTCGTCGTAATTAGCTTAATGAAAGATGCTCTGTCTTCTCGAGTGAATACAGGTTCCATATTCTGCTAACTTTAAAAACTATCATGTGCTGTTACCTAGTATTTATCACTGCCTTCGACAATAGTTTAAAAATTATCTTTTTGCCGACCGACGTCGAGATGTTGTTTCAGCCCTGTTGGATGAAAATACCCTCTTTTGACGGTTGCGATCTGACCTGGCACCTTCAACATCGCTCTGAAGATCGCTCTTTGTAGCAGACCTATCTTTTCTTTCAACATCACCTTCAAAATGGCTTTCATCGCTAATCGGGTACTTGTAGGCAGCTTCTTTATAAGCTTCCTTTTCTCGCTGATTCACCTCTTTTCTGAGCTGTTCCGCACAAGACTTATGCCACCTATCCACTTCAGCATCGCGCTCAAGTGGAAAGGATTCAGCTGGTATCTGCATTGGGAATGGCTTGTTAGTCAGTGGATTTATGAGATCCCAATTGCTCAAAGCAAATTGATAATAAGGAACATGTTCCTCAGGGCCAAGAAGCATTTCTATACTCTGCCATCTTGAAAAGCCGTCGATTGTCAGTGTAGGTATCGATGGCGGTGCAAATTTGTCTTTGTCGGGCAGTAAAGTGTGTTCGCAGCCCGTCGCTTGCCAGATATAAGATATCGACTCATTCGGCAATTCAAATACGGCTAGCAGATTCACTTGTTAGAACAGTGAAGTAAAGCAAAGATGTCATTTCTCGTCTTACAATCGTAATCGCCACCCACAGCTTTGTAGAAACTGGCCATCTTTTGAGGCGTAAGCCATGGAACATTCGGATCGCCGATTTTATGCATCTAAGGCATTGGTTAGATAGTATTAGCATTGGGTAAAGCTTTCTCACAATGTGTGTCGCCATAGCGTGGTTGAGAGCATTAAAAAGTCGGGTTGGCGTTTTATCAGGTTCGAACATATAACCCCAGAACGCCAGTAGGTTTTTTGCAGATTTCTTGGCGGTCTCATTCCTTGAGGGTAGACGAGTAGAATTTGCGTCTTTTCTAGACTCCTCATCGGAATCTGAGTCATCAAAGGCCCCTCTTGGTAAGGCAGCAACAGAAATTTCTTCGAGATGAGTGCTGAGATGTGACAAAAAGTCTTCTTTTTCATCATGAGTGTTGACAAGGCACAGGGGACAACATTGGCTTTGAGATATGCTCTCCGCTTCATGTTCAGCCTTCATATGCCGGATCCATCTATACTTTTCTGAGAAAAGAGTAAATGCGTCTGTACAATCGGGTGCCGTGCAGTTATATGGAGATAGATCCTTGATGAGATGTTTCCTGGTAAGGATGGTCAGGCAGTCTTCGAGGTTCAACAGTTCAGGGAGGTGTCTCACTTCCAGTCCACCTCTTTCTTTATCACAACCATTTTGCCACAGCCAAAGCACTCAAATGCATGTCCAGCGACCGCTTCGGCTGTCAATTTCGGAATCCAATCTGGGTTCTTCAAAGCCGTACTAGACCGTCGAGAAGGCACGTATGAAGATGGATATTTTGAGAACGTTGGTACAGAAGTCCCGAGGCCAGAGTCCTGCCATATAGTTTCGCCAGCGATGGTACTTGCTTCGTAAGCCTGAGCTTCATCTTGCGTCTGACTTTTCGACTCATTGGCAACCATTGCTTCTTTTCTAGCGATGATTTCTTGATATCGCCGCAAATTGGACTTTCCTAAATGGTCAACAATTTTAACATCTCCAAATGGAAACTTCTCGCGAATGAGGCCGGCGTAGAGATGATGAGGTTCCAGAGATTCGACCTGTACGGGCTTTGGATCATCATAGTGCGGATCGGGTACGGCGCTTGCTAAAGTCTCAGTGAGATCGACCAAACAACGCATGAAAATCTGTAGATCTCGAACATGACTTTCTATTTTGTCACATCCGGTGAGTTCGTCTGTGCTATCCTCGCTTTCCGAAGACACTTGCTGGATATAGTCTTCACTCTCGACAGTAGCTCTGGCAGCATCCAGTAGGATGTCCATGTCTGATTCACGGATAATATTCAGGAAGGTCGACAAGCCAAAAGCTATCGGCACGATACCTGGAAATTGTTAGACGAAGTGCAATATTTATGACTCTAAGCTGAGAAACATGCCTTTGGTCAGAGTGAGACCCATGGACCTCAAAGGAGAGAGCGTAGCTCGGAGCAGCCTTCTTGATCTTTGCAGAGTGGCATCGAGAGCACCACTTTCAATGTCGTTAGATTCGCCCCAAAGAACAAGAGATTGAAGAATTCTCATCAAAGCTCTTTGATGCGTCGAAGACACATTGCTTCCGGTTTTGGCCTCTCTCAATGTGTGAGTGAGAACATCGACATTTGCTTGGAAGAGCCTTCCGACGATACCAATGTCATCTGGGATTAAGATATCATCTTGATGAGAAGGCCTGCTTGGAGGGCTGGTTGCTTCCATCGTTCCACTCCAAGGGATACTTGAGTCAGAAAAGGTTCTATCTATCGTGTCGGTTGTGTTGCTCGTGCATATAATCTTCAACAGTCGAAAGATAATATTGAGATTTATAATGACGGGAACACTGATAGAGGCTTACGGCACGTGCAAGGCGGGCAGGGAAATGATTGGTAGCCAGTCATCCACGTTTGCTCAACCCCTCATCCGCAGAACTGAAGCAAACGCAGCAACAATCATTATCGTTCTGCTGCATTGATAAATTATGAGTCATGGCAGAGGTTGCAGGTCTTGCCATCGGTGTTGTTGGAGTGCTGCCAGTTATTGTCCAGGGTGTGGTCGGATATCGCAAGATTCGCACGCTCCTGGCCCAGGTCCGGGCCTGTTCCAATGAGCTTCGGACTCTTGAGATCGATGTCGAGGTACAGGAAGGTCGGTTTCTCAACGAATGGGAATTGGTCCTTCATTCGGCCGATATAAACGACGATAAACCCAAGGGGCAGACAGTCAGGGCCATGATAGAAGACCCAAATCACAGCATGTGGAGAGATTCGGAGCTCGACGACCGACTCAGGCAGTGTTTGGAACGAAGCTACGATGTGTGTGCTAAGATCATCGATAACATTGTGGAAACGTTGCAAGATATCCAGCAAGGTCTTGTGAGTTTCTCTTTGGTACGAAATGGTCGTGAGAATGTAGGTCTCTGAGTAATGGTCATGCAGTACTGGACTGATTCAACTCCAGGGTGAATCATTGCGGAAAGCCTTTCGTCGACTGCAGCAGTCTTTCCAAATCACTTTTGATAAGCAATGGTACGAGAAGAAGTTGGATCGATTGCGAAGCAGCAACCAGGACTTGGGAGCACTCAGAACCCAGATTTATAGCTTTCAAAAGTCTAGGACTCAAGTGAATAACCGAGAAAAAAGGAAGCTTGCCCTGCCCGAAGTCATCAAAAAGGTCCGCGACATCTCAGAAGAAGCACACAGAGCTATATGCAACGCTTTTACCTGTGACGATCGATCTCACACAGACCACGCAGCTGCCATGGGCGTTAAAGCGTGCGTTGAGGACACCCCTGCAGGGAAGTTGATCTTTGAGATGGCAATCGACTTTGCGGCTCCACATCCTTTGTAAGTCAAATAGTCCATTTCAAGAAATTATACACTGTGCTAATAGTTGACAAATAAGGAATCATAGAGAGCCATCTGTCGCCTTTCTATTGCAATCTTGTTATTCAAAGAGCGTGGGAAAGCAATCGATATCAGCGCCTCCTGCTAGTTCGTCAGGACATGGCTCCTTACACACACTCGTCCCAGCACTGCAACGAAGAGACAAACATGGAGAATCATCGAAATCGATGGCATGCCAATCCAGAACTTTCGAAGACAGTGTTACGAGAGATTGCCATGCTTTGGATCTCGAAGAGTCCCTGAACAGCTCTGATATTGACTTAGTCAACATTGATAACGCTTGCAAATACCTTCAATCCAAACTTGGTCCTTCTACACCGTTGGATGATATTTCCATCTTCTGCAACTCTCCCGCCAATCGCAACTATTGTTTCTATTTCAAGCAAAATAGGCTTTGGCAACCAAACTCGGATCCGCTTCTATCGCTCAATAAACTACTCCAGGACAGCCGAGTAGAGCCGACCCTTGATCAACAGGCCAAAATGGCCCTTCAGATGTCTCTTGCCGTCCTACAGTTCCACTCAACTCCGTGGCTAGAAGGCACATGGAAAACATCCGATGTCTTTGTCCATAGTCCAAGCGTGCTCGATTCATCAGAACCACTTCTGTTCCTCCGAGCCCCCTTATCAGAACCATCACCAAAATCGACTTTAACGTCGTCCAGGCCTTATGCTGAGAATTATCCCACAACGCTCGCTTCATCATATATATTCTCAATGGCAGACTACTACGGCATCAACAACATGACTCTATTTGGTCTTGGTGTAGCCCTCATTGAGATTGGTCATTGGAGACCTTTGGCGAAATTGAGACGTAATCAAGATCCTGATGACATTCTCACTGCGAGGCGACTAGCCAATCAAACCACGCTCATGGGTAAGGAGTATCAATATATTACTCAAATGTGTCTGCAGTGCAACTTTGGTTGCAGTACGGACCTTGGTCAGGCTAGTCTTCAAACTGCAGTATACAATAACGTTGTTCAGCCGCTTCAGAAGCTTGTCAAAAGGCTAGAGGCTATAGCATTTTAATATAATTACTATCATTCCTATGGAGCAAATGAGCGAACATAAGAGTCGAAGGCTTCGACACAATCCGGCTCATCCAAAATCTTGGGCAAATATACAGCTTGCCACTCTGAATCGGGGTCAATAGTCAATTCAGCTTTGCAAAACTCCCAATAGGCAGGGTACCAGCCGGACTGTTCCCAGTCAAGAATCGCCAGGACGCGGCAAGGCGAATCTTTTGATACCATTATGTTTACAGGGTTGAGATCTGCGTGCGTGAAGTGGATGGGACAATTGTCAGGTAGCATCTCTCGATAAGGGTCTGTCAGGTCGGCTGGATCAAGATCTGGATCATTGACCGTGGCTGGCCATTTGAACATGTCTGACATACAGTCGTGGAATTCAGCCGCTGAAGAAAAAGGGCCAGCGGGTGGAAAGTTTGTGTTAGTAAAGACCATGTCTCTCACGGCCCCGCGGTTGACGTTACCTAACCACCAGTCAGGTCTGGAGGGATCCTTGAAGTGTGAGTAGGGGTACCTACCGATGAACGGATCGTCAGGTGCTTGGCGCAGATGTGACATTTTGGTGACCATGGATCCAAGCTGTTCACAGACGCCATCCTTTTCGATAGCGCTTAGAGTATCCCACCGATCACGTAAAGTGGCCCCATCAATGTATTCCATGTAGAGGAATGTGACGCCGTTTTCTTGTGTCCAGCCGTAGACCTCTGGGACTGGGACTTCAGGCAAGAAGTGGCGAACGGCCCAAAGACACTGTCCTTCCACGATGATTGCGTTGGAGTTGTCGCTGTGTTTTACGACAAGCCCAAGCTCTTTAAACACGGCTGGCTGACGTAACTTCAAGCCCTCGGCGTGTGGGTTCTGAATATAATTGGGCCTGGCTAGGACTTCGGAAGGAGTAGGAAGCTTGGGTTGCTCCAAGCCACGCTTGAAAAATGTGGACTCAAAGAATGTCACAGAGGAACCTTGTGGCAGTCGGCCAGGAAAAAGATAGGAAGACATTCTGGGAAATATCAGAAAACGGAGCAGTTTTAGCATCGGCCAAGGTGGCGAGGTATGACAATTTCGCGAAACTGGAGATAAAGGACATGTTATGTATGGGGGATAAGCTATAGTTGATTAGTAATAGCCTGAAAACGGCTCTGCCATGCTTCGCCTAGCTCAGTGTAATCTCGGATAAACAAGTTCACATTGAGCTAATGATTAACTGGTAGTTGAAACAGGGTAGCCGTACTAGCGTTGTCAGTGAACATCTTGCTTTAAACTATAACTACATTTTGACAGATGTTCTAAAGTTGAAGAACTAAGCAGTCGAAGCTCTATGGCAGTATTTTTTTATGAGATAAAGAGCATATATGGCGTTCAAGATAATAAATGCTGTCGCATTCATTCTGTCCTGATAATGCTTTAAGCTTCTAACTATCTTGAATATAGCCATCGGGAAATTGCTTCACCAGCTTTTCCATTTCTTTAATAAGTCTATAATTATATTAGAACTGTAAACTTCCGGAAAGGCGCGACATACGTAGTTCTAAAATGGTCGACCTGGGGATAAAGGGCTGAATCATGAACAATAATGCGACTAATGAGTCGGTCAGCAGGCTGCAGAATTCCTTGGGTAAAATCAATACTTACGTAGCATAAAGAGCATTGCGAGCATCCCAGTCCCCGACAGGCTCGCTCTTTGGGATGCGCTCGTGGTAGCTCTTGAAGCACTCCTGTGCCCAGTCATTTCCCAAGGGGCGCATATAAGAGAGCTCATCTAACCAACAACATTCAAATATGTCAATATTGAGGTATTTATGAAGTTATCTGTTGTTTGACCTGATAATATAAGAGCGGCTCAACTTACATTCATGGTGGCCCCAAAATGCAGAAGCATCAAACATCAAAGGATCGTCAGTCCCTTCCTTGACAGACACATTGCCTAGCCACAGGTCGCCATGGATAAGCACTGGTGTAATACTTCTTCCATTTGTCTCCAGTGGTCGCAGAAGTCTAGGAATCACCTTATCGAAAAAAGGAACCATCAAGTCCTTCAGCTCTTTGCTTGGACCTCTTGCGATTTCGTCAAGCTTGAGCATGTGCCTCATGCCTCTGGCGTAGAACACCTCCCAACTGTCGGTCCACTGATTGTCCTGCTCCAGTGTGCCGTTGTATGTTGGGACATGGAAGCCAAACTTGCCAGTGGGGTTTTCTTTGACGCTGAGGTTGTGGAGCTGAGCCACGGCGCTCGTGAATTGCGGAATCGGCGGGTTGCCCTTGCGGAGGACGTGGAAGTCGAAAAGTATGAAAAACCGCTCAGACTTTCCACACATGCCCCAGGCTAGAGGCTTGGGTGAGAATTTGGGAATGAATTGATGAATCAAACTCATTGACTCGAATTCGCCCTTGAACATCGGACCAGCATTTGGACCCTCGGTTAGCTGCAAAATAACGTAATGAGTATACATGAAGCCAATGAAGATGTTAAAGAGCCACCTTGAGAAAGTACGAGATCTTTTCATTGTTGATTTCACCATCAATGCGAGCGGTTGTGTTCCAATTGCTCCCGCCATGACCCCGGCAGCTCTTGACCACCATGGAGGATGGAAGCTCTACCTCCCTCCAGGATTAGTGGTTTCCAGTGAAACCTAGGTAGGGAGACTCACCTGCGACGATCTTGGGATCTAGCTCAATATCACCATCGTGAACCTTGGGGCTATTCTGGACGTCCCAGTACCCTTGTGACATAGCGATGACGGCCTGTGATTGAACGGTAACTGCGTGAAGTGGAGTCAGCCTATTGTAATTTGGACGAACTAGGAAGGCTCAAGCAAAGGTTTTTGCTTTCGCCGCTCAGTACTCTGGATGTATCAGCTAAATAGTTGGCGATTGTAATAGCATCATTTAGGTAGGTAATGTGTTTGTTGAACTAAGGTGCCGTTGGATGATGGAGTTGGAGCCTTATTGCCAAGCCCTTTCTTTGTTTCACCGGATCGGCGATATTCCTTCACCGAGTACTTCGTTGGTGCAACTTAGGGTAACACAGGAACCAACTGGTCAGATCTGATAGGTCATTTTTGGCAGCGTGTAGGCAGCAAATGTCATGCCATGACCGCCAGAGTAAGCTTGTGCCACTGTGATGGAATGCGATGGCTGGCTAGACTTCCACCCGAAGTGCGGCTGACCACAGAACGAGACAGTCTAGACAGTTTCATCTGGTCCAAGATACCGATTGCAAGCCAGCAGGGCTCTGGTGGACCGTCACATTTCGCAGCACCCCGTTATCGCACCATTCAAAGATGCAGATCGGCGAGCAAGGTCAGACAGCAAGGCGCTTACGTCTCAGATTTCGTTTATCCTTGTCAAACGCGGGCTTCCGGAGGGGGACCGCCATTCTACAATTTGCTGCCAATTCATGTCCACCGTTGCTATTCATCCCCAGTAGAGTTTCTAAAAGCTACAACCCCATCGCATCCGCCTAATCAATCTTGGTCATCTCCGCAATATGGACAATACGATAAATGTCCGCCAAAGTGAAAAGTATGGACATGGACCAGGTCCAGATCAATCGGACGTGCCACCTAACCCGCTCTCTCAACTGCAATCGTCTGTGCCCTGCCCGCATTCCCTGTTCACTCAACATGAGCGCTGGGGTATAGTGCTAATGATCGCTCTCGCCGGTTGGTTCTCTACGCTGAGCAGCTTCATTTACTACCCTGCCATACCCGTTATCGCCGACGACCTGGACTCGTCCATCAGCATGATTGATCTCACAGTGACCTCATACCTGGCCGTTTCGGCAATCGCACCGGCTATTGTTGGAGACGCGGCTGATACCTTTGGCCGTCGCCCGCTGTACGCTATCACGTTAATGCTCTACGTGGCCGCCAATCTTGGCATTGCCCTGCAACATTCAGCTGTGGCTTTGCTGCTTCTGAGAATGCTTCAAAGTGCAGGGATCTCGGGTTTGTACACCAGAAGAGAATCTCGATCTCCTGTTTTCTCTTTCCACGCTCCCCTGTACTGTTATCTTGGCGCTGACGATATTCGCTGGTCTCAAGGAACCTTTTCTGTTGCCTACGGCGTTATCTCAGACATCTCCACCCCAATGAAGAGAGGTGCATTTGTCTCAGCCCTGTCTTTCGGGTAACCCTTCCCAGTTGTTCATTTTCGCGTCTTTACTGCCGCTCCATTGCCGCAGACTAACTATTCACAGCATTACGACGGCCCCGAGCCTGGGTCCCGTCTTAGGTGGCGCTTTCGCAGCCGGCCCGGGATGGAGATGGATCTTTTGGTTTCTCGTTATGGCTTCCGGCTTGTGCCTCGTCATCATGGCCCTTGCTCTTCCGGAGACACATCATTCTATCGTTGGCAATGGAGGTACAAAGCCACCCAGACTCTACAGACCACTCCTACCAGGGTTGATGAGGCCCTGGGAGCGTGACCGCGGACCGGAAGCCCCGATTACACCTGCAAGTGGCAGAAAATGCCCAAACCCCATCAAGAGCTTGCGGATTCTTGCGCGGAAAGACGTGGCTGTCAGCATCATGCCCGGCAGTTTTCTTTACACGGTTTACTGCTGCATCCATGCGTCACTTGCCACGACTCTGGTACAGGTCTACCACGTAAAGAAATGGCAAGCTGGTCTCGCATACCTGCCCTTCGGGGTTGGGGCCATCACATCGACCATCGTGTCGAGTAAATGGATCGACCATGATTACAGGGTTGTGGCCGAGGCTCACGGGCTACCAATTAACAAAGCATCAGGGGACGACCTGCTGCACTTCCCCATCGAAAAAGCAAGGATGAGGAGTGTTTTCCCAGTCACCTTTGCCAGCTTCGCATCCGTTCTTGCATACGGATGGCTGATGCATGCCACAGTTGTGAGTCACCTTAACAGGTTCCCGATCCTGATCTCGGGATTCTTTTCGCAATACAGCCCTAATGAATGGTAATCAGCATGTTGCTGGTCCTCTGACTTGCCTTTTCATAGCTGGGTTCTCGATCCAGACTTGCTTCAATGTGAGAACCTAGAATGCATCCACTCACACTTTTACATCGTATTGACTGCAAGTCTAGATTAACAATACACTTCTGGTTGACATCAACCAAGACGCTCCGGCTACCGCCCAGGCGTCTTCCAACATCATCAGATGCATTCTCTCAGCAACCATGATCGTGGTTCTACAGAGAATGATAGATACGATGGGATTTGGTTGGACCTTCACTCTTCTGAGTTCATTCTGTCTAATCGCTGGTGTTTTCTATTTTGTGGAGCTGAAATGCGGGAGAAAATGGAGGCTGGCTCGGCATGGAATGACTCTAGACTAGGTATCTACTGTTTATTCTCCCTCATTCGCCCTGATATCCGTTCGGGTATTTGGCAAGTAGGGTCTTCATGTCCTCAATTGCCATCTTTCGAAAGCTGTTGTCAGGATACAGTGTCGAGGCGCAGAAATGCCCGCTGATGCGGTAGAGGAGATTTCGATCTTCATAGTCTTCCTCGGGGGCTGAGATGGGGAAGAATTTGTGGTACTCCCTCATCCAATGTCGACCGAGCCGGTAGCGCGGCGTAGCCATATTACCAACGTCAACTGGGTAGAATTGGTCAGCCCTTGATCGGTTTCGAGAAACGCACGACTTACACTCGTTGTGGCCCCAGAATACAGAGGGGTCAAAATAAACAGGCCCTCCAGTGTCAGCATTGGTAGCTATGTTTCCGTACCAGATGTCAGCATGGAGGGCTACTGGTTTAATAGAGCGACCGTTGGTTGCGAGCGGACGCAGCAGTCTCGGGATTATCTTTTCCATGAACTCGTGAACGATCTGGTCGAGCTCTTCGCTCGTGCCTTGAGATGCGCGCTCCTGATCAGCAAACGATTTGAACCGGCGGGTATACATCTGCTCCCAGGTCGGGGTCCAGGAGATATCTTGGTACATGCTGCCTTCATGTGTCATCACATGAAACCCGAACTCTTTTGGGGCATCCTCGTCAACCATGCTCTCATGGTGCAGCTTAGCAAGCATGGACGAGAACTTGCGAATATCGGGGAGCTCTTCAATCATATCCATGAATTCGCACAGGTAGAAGTGCGTGTTGGGATCAGACTTGTAGGTACCCCACGCGATGGGACGAGGAATACCTTCAGGCGTGTACTTGAAGATGACCTTTGCCCCCTCGCATTCTCCTCTCATCATGCTCATTCCAAGCTCGCCAGTTGACTCTTTGAGAAAGTATCGCTGGATGGATTTGTCGGCTAAGTCAACGTCAATTCGGGCGGTACGCGTCCAGAAGCTAGCGCCATGGGAACGGGCATCTTTGACGCTTGATCCCGTGGGAAAGTCTTTACATGTAGAATTCATTAATGTTCGTTCAATAACAATTCATCATGGCTCGCTGATCTAGGCAACTTACGTTCTGCAACAGCATCGTCTATCACAACTGGCAGACCAATTTGCCGATGGGTTGGCTTGGGGATTTCGTTCAGACCCTCCATGGCTGTTATCCAAGGCTGTGATAACAATGCACTCTTTGGGCACAAGGAAGTAAGTCACCTTGGCGTGTTGTCTAAAAATGGGCTGAGACTGCTACACCACCAGTAGTTATAACAACAAAACTCATCGCTTCGTGGGTAGCGGCTGATTCAACGTCAGACAAACAAATGCCCACTCCCACTCGCTGGCATGGTGTAATGGATAAGCCAGCGATTGGTGCCCTCACTTGCTTGACCATCGGTCAGCAAGCAGATTGGGTGGTACAAAGCCCATATCACATGCGTTAGTGTTTTCAGTCGAGACGCAGGCGGCTCTTGATGTCAAATGAAAGACTATGGGTTTTCGTCTGTGTGCGTGGTCTTAGTGTAGGTAGTACCTAACGTCTGACGGAGATACCTGATAAGGGCTGGGCCAGCAGAGCCTCCAAATTAAGGGTCATGCGAGTCCCCCGCAAACTTGATTTCACGATGACATGACTCCACTGTTCTATGGAGATAGTCCGGTCCTGTCACATTAAGCTAGGATGAAGGAGCGCCCGTTTGCCAATCATCGACCTCTACGACATACCGATAATTACAAAAATTGAACTTTAGAAACTATTTCATTTTGGCTCTAATTAAATCACAACAGAGGCAAAAATAGTCCGAGATTCTGACGGATCATCATCACGGTCACGGACACCTGAACCCGGGTCAGCCAGTCTACGGTCGTCAGCTTCATCGCTTGGCAGGAGGTTCACAAACCTTCTCCCTATAAGTCACAAATCGACAAGACAAGTCGCTGAAAGGGCTAAAAATGAGTTTGGCCTTAATACGGTCTACCAACCTCCCGAATCTTCTAATGTGATCGCCGACTTGGTCTTCGTGCATGGCCTAGGTGGCGGCTCCAGTACTACATGGTGCATTCATGGGGATCCAGAGAGTTTCTGGCCCAAGGAGTGGCTTCCCAAGGATCCTGACTTTGATGGTGTCAGGGTGCGCAGCTTTGGGTACAATGCAAACTGGTCAACGCGAGCAAAGACGCCTCTCGACGTTCGTTCTTTTGGGCAATCCCTTGTCGAGGAACTCATCAGTGACCCTATGATCAAGTCTTCAGACACGCCAATAGTCCTTCTTGGGCACAGCATGGGCGGTTTGGTCATTAAACAGGCATGCATCCTATCAAAGACAAACCGGGACTTCGCACAACTCGCGCAGAGGTTCCACTCGTTCTACTTTCTTCGTACACCGCATCGTGGAGCAAACCTCGCAAAGTTCCTGGGTAACCTCATTCGTATCTCTGGTAAGGGCCGCAAGCCTTACATTCAGGGGCTAGAGTCTCAGTCTGAGATCATCCGGAGCCTTAATGATAGCTTTCGTGTGCATTACGCCGGAATTTGTTTGCACAGTTTCTACGAATCCCAACCAACACCCCCGGTTGGGTTGATTGTAGATATGGAATCGGCTACACTAGGTTAGTAAATATCGCCGTCCTCTTGGGTATTAAACAGGGTCCCGCTAACCCATATCAGAATATGCAGAAGAACGCCCTCAACTTTTAAACGCTAACCACAAAAATCTAATCAAGTTTCGAGATATTACAGATACTAAGTACAGGTCTCTCAGAAACCGCCTTGCCGCCACTATGGAACAGATTCGAGCCAACACAATTACTATTGACAAGGCAGAGAGCCCTGGGGTGAAAGATCAAAAAGGAAAATTGCCAATTCTCTCGCCTAATCCGAACAACAGGACTCTGCCAGAGCCGCTTTTGTTGTATCACAGTACACCAGATGATGAGCAGCTGAAAGCCATCTATAGATACTTATCTATTGACTACGGCCCGGAAGACGCTCTCCTATCCTTGGATGATACCAGACTAGAAGGCTCCTGCTCATGGCTTCCCGCAAAGCCTTCTTATCAGGAATGGCTTCGCGCTCCAGCTCCCCGGTATTTCTATCTCAAAGGGGCACCTGCATCTGGCAAGTCGATTATGTCGAGTTACGTTATCAGATGCCTAAAGCAAGACGAGAGGCCAACTTGTTACTACTTCTTCAAAGCCGGAGAGAAAACAGCTCCTAACCTAAGCATCTTCCTCCGTTCAATGGCATATCAGATGGCGACGGTAAACCCTACGATTCGAGAGGCGCTTTTTTATTTGGCACTGCAAGGTCCATCAGTAGACATTCGCAACATCAAATCTATCTGGTACAATATTTTCACAAGTTGCATTTTCCACAAGGCACTTACCAGACCGTATGTTGACCTACAGACCCCCTAGACTAGCCACTAATCATGTAACATATAGGCACTTCTGGGTCATAGATGCTCTGGATGAAGCGACTCAAACCAGCAATGCCGAAGATTACTTCCTTCTACTACTCAAGATTGATGATGAGATCCCTCTCAAAGTCTTTGTGACCAGCATACCAACTCAGGAACTGGACCATTCTTTTACGCAGCTTCCAACAATTATTCAGCTCATAACTCCCGATGACTCCATGCGCGATATCCAGCTATACGTCAATACCTGGTCTGCCAATCTCCCAGTGGACGAGGTTGACGATCGCAACAGACTCGTAGACAAGATTGTTCGCATGTCGGGAGGTAGCTTTCTGTGGACTGTTTTGATCATGAAAAAGCTTCGCCACGTCTTGGCCGTTGAGGAGATACATGATGTCTTGAACGAGGTACCCCAGAGGATGAATGAGCTGTACCAGCATAACATCGAGATCATGGAGAATTCGCCATCGAAGAAGAAAGGAACTGTTAAGCACATCATCATATGGGCCATCTGCGCTGTCCAACCTTTGACCGTTGACCAGATGAGGGAAGCCATTAAACTCAGCCAGAACATCACACTTTCACTGAATCTTCGAACAAGCCTCCAGTCAATATGTGGTCAATTCCTTGATGTCGATAAACATTCACGGATCCAGGTCGTTCACGAAACAGCGCGAGCATTCCTGACAGACCATACTCTTGACTCAGAGTTTCGGGTAGATTATTCCGAAGGTCACGGGATCATCGCAGCTTCTTGTCTCGAATATCTACTTGGGGATGAGATGAAGTATTCGAAATGGCGAAGGAGTTTAGCAACTGCGGGCCCAAGCAAGAGTTGCATGACCGACTATGCTTGTCTGAGGTGAAGTGAGCACGTGGTCAGGAGCACTTCATCTTCAGACCGTTTATTTGAGCTACTCGTCCGGTTCTTCCAAACAAACGTCCTTTCGTGGATTGAACGAGTTGCCCAGCTCAGAGACCTTGAATGCTTAAATCGAACATCGAGACACCTGTCAAGCTACCTCGGACGAAGGACTAAATATACCCCAATTCTACCGCGAGATCTCAACGCTTGGGTTGTTGACCTGCCCAGAATAGTGACACAATTTGGTACCAACCTAGTAAACGACCCCGCATCTATCCATACACTGATCCCGCCATTCTGCCCTCGCGATTCGGCCATCCACCAGACTTTTGGATATGCAGAAGACGGGATAAAACTTGTTGGCGCGTGGAACTCTGGTTGGGATGATAGAGTATGCTCCATCTCGTTCCATGAGACCTACACAAGAGAGGTTGCAGCACGCGATCATCGCTTTGCTGTGGGCCTTGCAGATGGTCTACTCAAGATATACAGTAACTCGACATGCCAAGAGCTCTTTACTCTTGATCACGCCGAATCACTGTCAGTTCTCGACTTTGGACACACTGCCAAGTATGTTGCCTCGGCGGGCTTGCGGCGTGTCAGACTTTGGGATGCAAATACTGGCAAAGAAATATTCAATGTCAGCACAGACTCTCAAACACTGGCAGTTGCGTTGAATGAAACTGAAACGTCCCTCATTGTTGCCTCAAGGGACCGATCTCTTGCCAAGTACCAAATCCCAGATGGTACATGTTTCTACAAGGAGCAATGGATGGACACATTTATCGAATCTAAAAACGTGGGGTTTCCACCGTCTCCGAGCGCCGTTCGTATATCAATCGAATTACAAGTTATGGCCGTTGTTTGCAGAAGCCAACCAGTGCAGTTATGGTCGCTTGATAGCGAAAGACCTGTTGGTGCTTGCATACGTCCAACAGCGCACAAAAACTCAAACGCTCGACATATCGTCCATTCAGCCGTTTTCAACCCCAGCTCCTCCAATCCTGGCTTGTTGGTGTCCTATTGGGATGATGTGCTCGAAGTGTACGACGTTAGAACATGCAGAACCCTCGCATCCACATCAGCAGGTCTAGACAGGATAGCTATTGCTCCCAATGGAAAGACGATTGCAGGTAGTGATGGAACAGGTGGAATCAAGATCTTCGACTTTGAAACGCTACAGTTCTTGCACAGAATACAGGTTCAAGGCGACCCGGTGACATCGCTTGTGTTCGGGACTGATGGCCTCCGAATTATTGACGTTAGAGGTACACACGCCAACGTCTGGGAACCACTAGTCCTCGTGAGTCAGGACTCTGATTCCCGCTCGAGTGAGCCTAGTGAGTCAGTTCATCATATAGTTGACGACATAGGCGTTTCTGTTGTCAACGAGTCGGCAGCAATCACCGCTTTGCAGTGCTGTGAGGAGAGTGGTATAGCCTTCTGTGGACGGAACAATGGAAGTGTTGATACGTGCAACCTCGATGATCCCGAAAAGACAATGCGCAGTCTTTACAGCCATCGCGGTAGTTTCACAAGTGTGACTTGCATTGGGTGGGCTTGTAAACCGCGGATTGCTGCTAGTGCAGACTCATCAGGCAGGTTTCGTATCATGCAGATTACGACAGGTGCGCGCAGAGAATGGGGTGCAGAAATGTTGACCGAAGGCCAGTTGGACCCAGGTCATATCGTTAGTCAGGTCCTTGTTCACCCGGAAGGATTGTATCTGCTAGTTTCGTCCTCAGAAGTGGACTCAGTCTGGTGTGTGAGGTCCAAAGAGAGGGTTGCGAGTTTGACAAGTCGAAACCGAGTAACTTGGAAGTGGTTTGTGCGGCCATCGAGTCCTCCTCAACTGCTTCTCTTCGAGGATAGGATGATGAAGCTCTATAACTGGGCCGATCTCAGCGAGCTCGCTTCAGCTGAAGCTCGCATCATCCCCACTATATTGGGCAGAAGGGACTCGGGGCCTGGGGCTCTCAACGATGCGGACGCGATTTCCATCTCCAGTGAAGGCGACGACTTGGTGTTCGTTGAGAAGCTGCAGCCAACCCATAAGGATTTACAGATCATGCCCAGTCTTTCTCAAAGCAATACCAAGATCCATGTCTTTGATCTCTCCTTTCTCGAAGCACATGCAACACTTTCTTCGAGGACGCCTGCCCATTTCAGCTCAACGGCGAGTACACGATCTTCCTCTGCTCCCCCTCGACGTATTCAGTCTCTTTCACATCATTCTCCACCCCCACAACTCCACAACCCATTCTCTACAACCCCACTCGAAAATCCACCAAATGTCCCCCCATTTCATGCCGCCAGCAGCTTATCTTCGGCACATCGCCGCTCTTCAGTCAGGAATGTGGCTGATGTCCCCAACGTTGAGAGAGTTGTTGGAACAGTGAAAAGATTTAACTCATGGTTCTTGATCTTTATTTCTCGAGAAGGCTGGGTTTGCTCTGTAGAGCTTGGGGGCAGCAAAGTTCTTGATACATTCGAGAAGCACTTTTTCGTTCCCACTGTCTGGCGGACTGCAAATTCAACCCTTATCACCAAGGTTCGCCGAAATCAGGATATTATTTTTATCCATCAAGATGGCGTGATTGTTATCAAAAACGGTTTAGATAATGGGCGACATGTTTCATTTTCTTAGGATGCTCAAGTTTCGTTAGCGTTACATATATTTATCTATAATAATCTAGTCCTGAATCAAATGTACTTCCTTTTGTGAGCCGAGGCTCTTGTGGTTCTTAAGTTCTCTCTGCTGACTTAAGCTCTTAGCCATTACGCCTTGTGCCGTGCTCCACGTACTTGACCGAAAGGAGCTAATGTTTTGCTGGCGTGTTGCAAGCTTTAGCTCTGCTGAAATCAGTCGCATGTTAGGTCATATAGTCAAGCTGAATATATACCGCAAAACCAGGACCGTTATGGAGCGGCCATAAGTAAACCCCGAAATAAAATAAAGGTTCCATATCTAACTTATGAGTGCTTACTTAGGAGCTAGGTATTTACTAATATAAGTAGTAAGAGAAACATTGTAGGCACAGCATCTTAATTAAACCGCCTAATTCCGAGCTTGGATATGCACATTGAAACCCTTTGGCTTAACAAACCAGCGGTTATTAGTTTTAAAGTTTTTCCCCATAGGATTATCTTTTGGAAACGTAAACTCAAAGTCGCGAATAAGACGTGGGATCAGTTTAGACATTTCCAGCATAGAGATGTGCCGACCAATGCACGTTCTAGCGCCCATACCAAACTGGAAGTGTCATTAGCAGTTTGGTTCGCATAACCAGGGAGCTCACCACTTACTGGCATCCAGTGGCGATTCATCATGTCGAGCTTGTCCTTGTCACTATCGAGCCAGCGCTCGGGTCGGAAGGCCTCTGGATCAGGTCCAAAGACCGCGCTGTGGTGTTCCACCCAGCAATTAACGCCTACAAATGTCTAAAAAGCAGTTCAGTACACCGGGCTGCAATAAACTTGTCCTGTTTGTGCAACCTACTCCTCCAGGAAAGAATTGACCGGCGATTGTTGCACCGCCATCGGGAACCACTCGCTCCAACGGCTGACCGACAGCAGGATGTAGCCTCAATCCTTCTTTTATTACAGCCTGTAAGTACTGCATTTGTTGTGTCTCTTTGAAGCTGAAGTGACGGGAATGGGCGACACGTGACTGATGCTCAGCCACCTCTTGACGAAGCTTGTCTGCCACCTTGGGATTGGTCATGAGCAGATACATAATAGCCGATAGACTGATACCAGTTGTGTCTGACCCAGCTGTCATGTTAGATGCACATCCACTTATAACATACCATTCATTGTATGTTACTGGATCCTTGCGATGACGAGCCGCATACTTGGATAAGAAATCCATAGTTTGCTTGTCTTCGTCTTCAATATCTAGGTTCTTAGGCTTAGCTTCATGCTCTTTCATGAGCTTCTGGGTGAACTGCATGATATATTGCATCCCTGTTCCTGTGTTCCCAGCAAAGAAATTTTGGATGTGGAAAAGTAAAGGGTGTAGCCAAGAGTAGACACCAATTACGCTGGCATAAGCGAGAAAACCTTCCAAAGACTCCATGATAGCTGCTATGTCGGTGCCATGATCCAGGAATCCTATTCTCTGGGAATAGGTGATCATACTGATGACGTCAAAAGCGTAGCACTGAAACCATCTGCCTAGGTCAACACGCGGCCAGGTATTTCCAGCTGCAGAGCCTCCAGCCATTTCTCGGAGTCTCAAGTCAAATAAGTCTGAGCATCCGTCGACAAAAGACTCGTATGAAACAAGTGCCGACATAGCGTGTGTGCTCTGAAAGAGTCGACGCATTTGGGCATGTTCTTTGATGTTCTCATGCGCGAAGAAACTTGGCTTGTCGCGAAGGGGTATACCAAATGCTCGAAAGAATGAGGACTTGGCAAATTTATCTGCTTTTCCAACACCATAGATAATCTGGGCGGCCTCAGGGTGGTCGAAACTATATCGGTTGGGGCCATAGCGGACGATGGGGCCGTATTTGCGATGAAGGTCGATATTGTCGCGCTCAAAGTGGCCTTTTCGAACGCGGTTGACATACCATAAATCAGTGAATCGAGAAAAAAGAGGCCCAGGAATGTTCTTTAGGGGAGAGAAGAAGATGGTATATAGAGTTAATGCAGCCTTGTAGGTAATGGCCGAAGCCAAAGCCGCAAGCGGAAGGAGGAGCAAGAGGGGTGCCATAGTTGCGATGTCCTTGCTATAGATTATATTTTAGGGGCAGCCGGTTGGTCTCGTATTTATGCATGATTCGAAGACAAGAGTAAAATTGTCCGTCTTTGAACATTTTGGTCTGGGGCATCGTAAGTAGTAAGATATTTTACTTGTAGACCTGTCTTGGTCGGACCTCCACAGTAGAAGAAGCACCCGTGTGGAGAAGTGGAGAAGAGATCTAATTATAGTGACGGATAAATACTACGGAGGATTAAGTACTTTGTGGGGCCGAGCCGCCTGGTATCGTCACAGGTACTTACCATGTGCGATGAGCAAGGCTTCGGCATGTTTATTTAAGATGTAGTTTGAGAAGACCTTGCTTACTTCCCCTAACAGCTTTTGGCACAACTCTCTCAGCGCAATTGTAAGAACGGATGAGGCTTGGTGTGCTTTGGGTCTGACGTAATGGATGGAAATGCAACTTGAGGTGCTGGAACGGGGACAATGCTTGGCCCACTGGCCCTAATACAAGTACGCAGTGTGCTATCGCACAACCTTCGTTAAATGGACGTCGCCAAGTTACGGGCGAGGCTATCAGTGGATGTGAAGACTACGATCGAAAGTTTTCAACTTCTGAGGAGGAGCTTGAACGTTTATGTCATGAAACAGGGTGGCCCGAAGGGCAGAAGGAATCAGTGTTTGGCTGCTCTCGGATGCTTGGCAATGTTTGACGTCGCCTTCGTGGTTTGGAAATGCAGAGCATCATCGGGATGAAGGCTATGGATTGCCGGGAGGCTTGAACTTTAGCAGCGGTGCTGAAAAAGTCAGTAAACATCTTGATGGCTTATACTGATCCAAGTAACTAACCATGGATCAACCCTCTCGGCTTGTTCAAGCCTTCAGACCTCACATCCTAGGGCATCGTCAAGTTCGTGTGGCTAATCTGCATGGTAACACAAAGGCAGCATCTCGTAGCCTATTCTTCGACGATACCAAGAGTCATCAATGACAACCTGCGTTAGTGGTCCGACTAAGTAGAGAGAGGTGCGACGGTAGGAGGTTCGGACTTGAAGCAGGGTCTTGCGATGAGGAATAGAAAGGCGTCGGTACCAGTGAGTTTGTCGGCAGGTAACGCTGACGAGCTCTTGTCTTGTCCCCCAATCGTCATCTCTCGCTCCAAGCTGAGATGAAGCCATGGCATGGTCTCAACTGACCATCGTCGGATGATGAGTTCGAGTCGGCACGGTCGGATTACTCGGTGTGGCACCGACGACGAGGTGGCTTGACGGTGAAGCCTATGTCAAGGCGATGCAGCCTTCCACGGTATCTTTCATGCTGATGGACCTGTATCATACGTTTGGCATCAACCATGAATTGACGGGCAGAAGGCTTCGAGGTCGGAGTGTTCATCGGCGGCGTGGTGTGTCCTGCATCAGACACACCGTGTTGAAAGAGTCGGAACCGAAAGCCGCGACAGTAATGGCATATTGAGATCGAAGCGAGGCATTCCTCAGGAACCTGAGGCAGTCAATACGTGCAAGCTTGTCTAATTGAGGTCTGCATACTTACAGGCTGTAAAACTCGGAGTGGCACACGCCCGCCATGCGCGAGATTGATCTCTATCTAGACCAGTGTGAACAGCGATCTTTCATATGCCATTACTGATGAATTCTAGAAAGGCGAATCAATCCCATGTTGAAATTGTTGCTCAACATGTTGCCGGAGGAGGCAGTCAAGGGCGGGAGGGGCAATCACTGATCACTGAAGCGCTAAACGGACCCGGCCGACGGCACTGGAATGCAGGCGCGTCATTATTCCAGGCTGCGACCGCCTCAACACCTCCATGACGGTCTCTCATTGATCCTCGAGCTTTTGCCTTTGTCGGTCGGCTTTTTGAGTTCGTCTAGGGAAGTTTTTTTGGCATCCACTACCAAAATCTCCACCGCCGTTTCTGTTTAGATCACGAATAAAAGGGGCAATAACCCAGATTATCAACATGAATTGTGTTGTTCTCCACGAAACCAACGCGTAGCGTTACGCAACGGTCTGTACGTACTGCCACTCCCACTGTCTCCCCCTTTGAGTAGGCCAGCCTGTAATTGTTGCGTAAACAATAATACCGAACGCGGCCGCCTTGACCAAATTACAATTGTTTCAAAGCTTCGACCAGGCTCAGAAGCAAGTACGCGTAGAGCCAAGCCTGAACGTCAGCAAGTGCCTCTGTTGGTGGCGGCAAGCAGTGTGTATCGCCAGTCTGAGTCATGAGACTTTGGCGTAGTCTCCGCCCGCACCAATAGAAGCCAGGACGTTTGTTGATCTAAGCAGTATCATAGGCTTGTGGGAGGTCAGCTGTGGAGGATGACCTTTCCTGTCTAGGCTTCCATCGCGCTGCCGACCCCCTGGAGGTCTCAGCAGAGACGAGGCGTTCCTGCTGCTGAGACACAAGCTCGTTGTGATCTTACTGGCCTTGGCCAGACGCTCGTGTCTTTCTCGTCAACCATTTCGACAGTTGTTTGTGCACCACACTGCAGAGGCAGCGCGTCCGTGACACCCCATGTGGTATAGTGGGCGTTTCGACTTGATGGCCTATCCCTACAATCGTCTGATCAATCTACTGTGTTGTGCGAGGGGAACGGAACGAAGCTGCGGAACTAAAAGCTGACCATCTCAAAGTCTTTTTCTGGCCTGGACTGAAAGCTACTTCTCGTCTCGTCTCGCCCTAAACCTTGGTTGAACGCCTTCGTGGGGCTTTACTCCCGAAATGAACGCTGTGTCGGGGTCACGGACAGGCTTCCCGTCATCAGCTCAAACGTAAGTTTACCAGGCAGCCAGGATATGGACTCTTGGTGATGTGCCGCTTATGCTGTTGCCAAATTCACCGATCCATCAATAAAGCCAGGGGTAGAACAAACTTAGCGTGCCGAATTCGCACGTTTTGTGATTGAGGCCTTCCACACTAGCCATAAGGTGACAGTCAAGATCGACCCGCGGTAGGTCTCAGTTGTCTTCGCCGGCTTCAACGAGTGCTTGTTTCCGTCAGCTACCCGGTCCCCGGTCCCCAGCAGGGAGACAACAGCTCGCTTGCTTGAGACAACATCATATGGGCGTGTGTAGATACCATCTTGTCGAGTGCAACAGGTGTCTCCGACCCTCCCCTTCGCCATGCATTCGAATATTTGTTTTTCCCCTGGCGCCCCGTCACATCAGCCAGGCTCAAGGTCATGCTTTCGCCTGTTGGTGTGTTACCCCTGCATGCCCTGTAACCTCTGGGTCTGCCCTGTCAAATCTTCGATGGCCTTTACGTAGCAATGACTGTTTGCACGCTGTATCAAGCAGTATTCCGTTTTCGTTCAGTTCCTTCAAGTCAGGCCCATGTCTATAGCCATTGCTTTACAACACTCTTCCCGGATATGTCTGGAGTTTAGATTAACGACCCCATTCAATCGCTGTGCAGGGGCAAAGTGGACTTCACTGACAGGGCGCTCAGCGAGACCGTTGACGAGGCGCTTCAGAAGATGGGGGTGCCCGCACATCTCCGGTGAGGTCAGCGGCTCGGGAAACAAGCCAGCAAGCGCTTACAGCTTAGCCCATCAAATTTCAACGCCCGCACCACGAACCTCCTCCGCTCTGGTCCCACCTGATTTTCTTTGCGTGCCTTTCGGATGTAACAGCAAGAACCCGGGGCCAAATCCGAGGCCTAGCACCAGTTACGAGCTGCATGAACCAATAAAACCTCCTGATATTATCGCACCAGCTTAAGATGTGGATATGTGGAGAGCTGAGTAGTGGCGTACAGAGACGCGTTTTTAAATGGACGAGGCGAAAGAGACTAAATTTATCTCGGAGAACCTTCTCCTCTCTAGAAATTCGGTTATTTTTGTTTCTTTCATGCTTGTTTCCATTTATTCGCAAGATGGAGTTGCTCTGTGCTGCAGTTCTTGTTTGAGAAGTCCTACAAGCCGCTATTTGTTGTTTTTTATTCCACAGGATCACTTCATTTTAGTTGCACGTTCATGTCACAATGGATTAACCAACAAAACACATTTGTTACTACAAACAGCGAATTTAAATTATTAGAGGCAGTTTCCATCAACAATCAACCAGTAAAGGGAGCCCATTAGTCCTATTGCCATATAGCTAAAGTAGTACACTTATCAAAAACGAAATTTTCGGATCTTTTACTCGAGAAGGACCCTGATCGCAGGGCTCTTATCCTTGATTGTGCTCATCCGCGCCCTCAAAGCACCCTCTCTTTTGGCTTCCCAAATCCCATTGCACTCCTTGTGGATGCTTCTCCATTTCACATTGTTCAACCTGCATTCGACTGGGAATATCTGCAGGAAATTGATCCTCCAATTCTTCCACTGCGCTTCTGGTGCCCTTGGTATCTTTGGTCACAAGTTGGTCGTCAGTTCGCGAGGGAGATGCGGGCTCTGAAGATTGGCCCAATGTTGTAAGGGGGGATTGATCTCCTGGCTGAATATCCTGAGGTTCAAAATCGATCAGCAGGTTGGGTGATGCGTAATCCATTTGTGTGTGGACGCCGTTATCGTGGGTTGGCCATCCTCCGCAACAAAAGCTGACTGCCTGGTCGAGGGCACTGGCACTTTGAGGAGGTTCGAATGCGGCAGGAGAGGATGGTGTGGGCTCCTGATCATGGTGTGATACAGAGTTAGGGGACGCATGTGTTGAAGAGGACTCATCAGTGGGTGATGGGTAAGGGCATGTGCAATGTGCCCAGTGGCTAGCCTCGACGGTACAGTTTGGCCACTGGCACATTATATGGCAGGGGTCCATAGTGATGAACCTGCAGCTGTGCTTGAGGAGGAGGAGGCTTAGTCATAAAGGCAAGATACCCTGAAGCCAAGCGCTCAAGGCTACGGGAAGAATGATATTATGAAGCAGGAATTGAAGGAGCGTAACTGATGTCGGTATAACTCAGCGATTTGTTCAAGCTGCCACGGTCAAGATCCCTCAGGTATTTATAACTGATCTAATCCTTTTCACCTTTCTTTTTTTAACATTGTCTATCATAGCTTGGCTTTTTGAAGAACAACAGAATGACGGCTGGCTGATGACGGTGTTTGCTTTCCTTGTCATCGTATCCATGACCCATTAGCCAAACCGCTGAGTGATACGCTATCGAATCTTACCGGCCGCAGACTGGCCCTAGAACCCGCGAAGCTTTCAGCGGATCCTTGGGCACGTCCATCTCTCCAATCGGGTTATCTTTAACTGTAATAATTGCTTGAAGTTTGCTCCACACCTTCATTGTACAATGACTGCGAAATATTCAGTGATCGACACGGAGTTGTAGACCCTGAGACTTACGCGAACACCGCTCTTTGAACAGGGTGGGCCCTTGTTGCACGTGTCTGCCATAGCTGGGTGGGGGGTTTGCCCATCAATTCTTCCCAGGCTCGAACAGGCGCCTGCACAACGCAGGGGCTTCGCGCGAGATGCCAATGTTGTATAAAAGCCAATTCACAACAGGGATATCCCCATGGATCAGGGTTTTCTAGGACTACTCAAGTGCAAGGAGCATCAATATCAGTGCACAGGCCAGGAGACAGAGTTAACTAGCTGCAGCGGCAGGATCAAGCAGGCCCGTTCCTAGTGACCACATTAACTCAAGATTTTAGCCACGCCGCCTCGTGGGTCTCTTCTGTCCAAGTTTGGGCTTGAAGACTATGATATAATACTAAAATTTCAGAATTCTCAGGGAAAGGCATCCATAGGACGTGGCCAGTATCTTGAGTTCATACGTATTTGGGTTTTCCGCCCCTCCCATCTTTTTGCAGTTTTCTCTTCCCTCCCGAATATCCCTGCGCTCTAGTTCCTCTTCTATTGTTTTGTGGGGCAGGATGATACCGGTTCTTATAGCGTTTGAGACTACTGTATTGTACGGCTGAGCTTCCGATCGCGGCCTGGAGATCAGACAGCGGTTGGGGTCACTCCACTTGAACAGACTCGATAACCCGATATCTCTTTTTGCCCTTCATTTCTTGCATATCTCAGTAGCTTCATCAAAGTACCTTGCAAGCGCCACGGCTGAGCTGCGATGTATGTGTTCTCCAAGGGATAACTAGTCCGCTTTGGGTTCTTGTCGGTAGGTAGGGTTGTCGGAAACAGACGGTAGCAAGGTCACAATGTCACGCATGTTAAAACATGACTAATTCAGGTGAGGTTCATTGCCATAAAGAAGTATTGTGCGTAGCTAGTGAGATAAATTTCATTTTCCTAACGGATTGATATATACATGACTCTAATAATTATGTCACTTAGGGCAGGATTACTCAGTCGTCAAAGAAGTCACTGGGAATGTCTGTCCGTGATTAGTTTGAGTGGTATGGTACGGCATCACATCAAAACGAGTGATTGTGCACGATGGGTGAGAATTTGTGGAGGATACATAACGTAAATACGGTTTGCAACATGAGCAATGGCATGATGCATCTTGAGAACTATTGTTCCTAAGCTTAAAAAGAATTAGCAAGGGCCAAGAATGTATATAGGACTTACTGTCCAGTATGTCTTTCATCAGACTGAAGCCTCAGCCTCTAGATAAACTCCAGGACTGAAGTAACAGCACAGACAGCCCCCCAAGACAGCAATAGCATACCAAACTTTGAAGCAAAGTCTCTCAATTAGCTTCGATCCTCCAAAGGAATATCGATCTAACGGACTTGCCGCGTGGCTTATCATCTGGGCTTCAAAGGCGGCACCGGCATCTTTCAGCTGGGCTGAACTGCAACTCCTACGTTCCCTCCCGCCCCCCTTACGCTCTCACCGAGGGAAACTGAGACAAGTCTCAAGACAGGCAGGATTCCGGTGTGACACCGGTCTTCCCGCGGCCGCAGAAGTGGCCATCCCAGCATTCCATTGCAGATAACGTGGTCTGCCAGGATGCTACAAAGAACTGGTTGGGGTATTTACGCGAAACTAGAGCAAAGGAGATGCCAGAAAATGCATGCGAACCCAAAGTTGGCAAAACCCTCGCATACACCACGTGGATGCTAAAAGAGTGGCTTCGGCACAGGATGCTAGGGCTAAAAAAGGTGAGACAATTTTGTGATCAGGAAGCGGGGATGTCACGAAACTCCCCGAAAGCTCCTTGTAGTACCACGCTGACCCGACCCGTTTGTGCGAAACGTTCTGCTTTTGGTGGTAAAGCAAATTCCATATAGTGGATAGTATGCCGTGATGTTACATTTGGCATGGCCAGGGTTGAGTACTGGAGTCTTTCAATTGAGGCGCGGGTTGGGCCTCTATGGCCTCTACAAGTTGGTCTAGATTTGTGGCTTGCAATTAACTTCAATATGTCTCATCACAGCAATCCAGTACTAATAAGAAACTAATAAGAAAAGTAAGGTTATGATGTTGTGATAAAAGTCCAGAATTGGGTACATATATAAGGCCTGTCTTAGGTATGCCGGATTGAACTTGCTTAAGTCCTCTCAATGACTGCTCAGATATAATCTTTTGTTGAGTAATTACCTGATCTCTGATCCCCTCACCTTGGTACATCGATGCCAAACCCAATCGACAAACAGTGGATCATCCGCTCTTCTTGAACTGAAAACCACTCTCCAGGACCTTACGCCGCACAACTCATGACCCTTGGGAGCTACCTTATCGCCAGGTATAAAGGACACTCCAGGGTTTGGGAAGAGCTTCTGAACAAAGTATCCTCATCTGATTCCTGCATATGTGCCAAAGACATCAGGCCTATATACCACATGCATCCCAATGAGTCGGGCTGCCAGCCCCCTAGGAAATGCTCGAAATGCCAGACAGTCAGTACAAACTGCCTCTTGTATCCGACTGTTCTATACTGATGACAGTACTAGATTCAGAGAAGCGGCATCGAGGATGGTGAATTTTCATCAGGTAAACGGCAAGCGGTATATACGTGGCCCTTTACATCCAACAAAGGCCGGCCAGCCCATCCGCCTACCAAGCAGCTGAAATCGTTACCAACAAAACATCATGTAATTCTGGAGAGTCATAGGGATGGCCATACAACATCAGAGACCACAGTGTCCGAATATTTGGCTCAAACAACAGGGCCTGTCCCAATCCCCCAAGCATCACGCAACATATATCCACCTCTATACCAGCCGATATGGTCCAACACGTATAGGACCCCTCATCTCGATTACCTATCTCCGAACGACGCGCGAAAATATAAGGGCCCAGATCAAAACAATTGGGACTTGGAGCTCGATAAGTGTGCATATAGCGGTATGTGACTGCGTAGACATATTTCCGAGTCGATGTCTAACAAACCCGACTAGTAAACAATTGTGCGACTAGTCTTTTACAAAAGCAGAGGGCAGAACGTGGATATTGGGAAGATACGAGAAGCTCTGGTGAAATCTTTATGATTAACGAATATAATAGTATAGAGAACTTTTAGAGGTTCTTGTTTCAAGAACTGTCTTGATAATATGCAGTTTTCTTTTGCAACTTCTTGGGAACTATAGATGGGCAGCTCTTCTTTAAGTGAGATATAAAGACATTTTACTGCAATAAGGGTAATGAACACTTCAATGCATTATAATCAGTATCCTGGGGAATAACACGGTACATATCCTGGCCAATAACGAATGCAGGCCTTCAAAGAGACAAAGTCTCAATAGACCCTTATTCAAAGCGTTGATAACCTGCCGAGGACATAGCTTCAATTGGGCATGATCTTTGTTGCATTTTCGCCGGATATCCTCAGAGTACCGAACCCCGGAATTAAAGAATCACAGAACTTCAATAGACTCGCATTTAAGTGGTGACCGCTGAGCTGTCAATGGCACACCATTGAAACTCGGTTGTAAACTCCTCCGTCATGTTAAACAACAACACACAAAGTCAAGAGCCATCACAAAAAACGACCCTGTTACAAGCTGCTATCACCATTTAAAATGCATTCCAACGAGTTCTCCTACAATAGCTATTTTATTCATGAGAAGGACCTAAAATACGTCCCTCCATACCTCAAAGATGTTCCCGAGACACCCAATGAGGTCGAATACCGCACCTCTGGTTCCTGGCCGACTTGGATTGAGGGAACGTTACTCCGGTGAGCATTTACATTGCGAGGCCACTGTAATGGGCTATATTAACAGATATTGTCTCACAGGATTGGCGAAGGGCGCTTTACCAATCCCTTCTCCCAGCAATCTCATCAGCATCCCGTCACATAAGGGATCACCTCTGCCATCAGGACAACTCTCAAATGACTTTGACATTCAAGTTAGGAAAGTATAGACCAGTGTCTCAAATCGGACGTCTAGTAGGCCAAGTGAATGCATGTGTCCCCATCAACCACTTCGAACGAGTTCACGGTCGAAGCGCACGGCGATGGAGAGATAGTAATATGTGTTTGAAATATGAATGATAAACAGTCGTTATAGCTGCTTGATTGGCTCCAATGAAAGGGTTTAAGGTTCCGTCGCTGTGTATTGTGGTAGGTGCTCATTTGCTGTCGCTTGCTCATAAGACGGTGCTGTTGAGCTTCCTTGGCCATTGACAGCATCTTCGAAGATCCGGGCTCGTAACTGCTGCAGCTTTTCTCTAGCTTGTTTCAGATCCTTGCCTGCAGCGTCCCTCTTCTCGGTCCACACGCTCTTCTTCTCCTCGGCCAAGCGCAGCTCCTCATCTACAATCGCGCCCGCCGCAGCTATACCCTCTGCCGTTGCTTTAATTTCCCGATGGAACAAGTAGTCAGTTACGGGTGTGTTGATCCAGTCGTCGAGTCTGCCAGCAGCGCTTTTCCCGTCTGCCACCTTGGGCATTATAAACCCGCCGACTTCGGGATCGAGCTCGTGAGCCAGGGCGAGGAATTGCGAGGCCTCAGTCAGACTGAGATGGACCAAACCCAACTCTTCACGCTCTTTCCGGTCAGCGACAGCGGAATTGAAGTGGCGATTAGCCCTGATTCCCGCTCCGGCTTTTAGATCAAAGATATCCGATTCGGAGATTTTGAGCGCCTTTGCTGCGCTTCCGGCGGCGAAGGTGACGCGTGAGCGAGCCATTGTGATATAGTTGACCACTGAAGCCACTTGGCTGTAGCGTTCCTGTATGGGATCAAATACCTAGAGAGTATCAGTGTCATGCCATGAACAAAGCGATAGAAAGTAATTTTGGCTATTACTTGTTGAGCTGCGATCATCTCTGCCTCGAGTTTATCTTCTTCAGCATTATCCGGCGAAGGTCCATCAAAGACAACTGCATAAAGGTGATCAAGACCATTCAGGGCCTGCACACGTTGCTCGAGCATGTGTTCCAACTTTTGCCTCCGCTCCTTCATGTCATCCAGCTTGGCTTTGAGCTCTTTGCGCGTCTTGTCCGCCTTGGCCAGCCACTCTTGCACTTCTGTCACATCATTCTCCTCCTTGTTGAGCTTCTCCTTATACTGTGAACCAGCAAAGAATTTCTTTATGTGACTTCCCCGTAGATCTTCAAATTCCTTTTGTTCCTTTTCAAGTCGAGCGGAGAGTTCACTATATAGCGCGTCTGCATCATACCATATGTTCTTGAGTGCAGCAAGGTCTAGTTTGACTTGGCTGAGAGTGGCTGCAGTATCTTCAGTAGCAGCGATAACCGAGAGCAGCCGTTCTCCTTCGGCTGCTGCCACGCTGATTCGATCTTTGTAGGAATCAATTATTGGCTTCATGGAGAGCAACGTTTGTTAATTTTGTGAAGGTGAATGTATATTAGATGGATTTTTATAAATAGGTTGAGTATCTGAACAAGACCTTTTAATATAAATGCCTCAGATGGATTTTCAGCTAAAGGTTTCAGCCGCACTGCCCAAACTCAAAGAGGCTGTCCAATTGAAGATCTTTGGTAATCTTCAGTGTGAGGGGCACTAACCAAGGTAAGAATGTGGTTACGGCATCGATGCAACTGCAGGTAGGGCAAACGCGTCTATCAGCCAAGCGCGCCATTAATTAAGGAGAAGAATCAATTATTCTACAGGATCTAATTCAGCTGCGGTATTATAAAACGTGCCTAAATCCGTCGCCCCTAGTCTACTCGAACAAATTCCGTTCCATCGTAGGGACTGATGATGCTGACGACCTTTGCATCCTCCATATTGAAGATGAGCTCATCAGCCGACCCAGAGGCTCCAATATTCATCCAAGCCTGACTATGGTCGAACAATCCTCCCTTTCCGCCCTCAACAGCCGCACGAGGTGCTGGAGTGGCAAGTCCAGTAACTACACGAAAAGCTGCAGAAAACTTGCCCTTGATGTTGTATTGTGCGGTAAGAGAGCGAGAGTTGGAGTAGAGACCCATTGGGTAGAGACGCGATGAGGTATCCGCAACTACGTCTTTTCCTTCGACGTACCACGACTTCACCTTCAATCCAGGCTCTCCTTTGTTGACTTGGATGGTCATGTTTGTAGTCTCAGAGCCCTTGACGACAAATGTACCAGTGAGGTTCTTCTCGGCACTTTCCGCTGCAGCGTACTCAGCTGCTGTGATGAAGGTTGTTCCTGTAACATCGCGGAGTGGCCATCGGGCAGGAGTGGCAGTTTCACCGGCAATAAGAATTGAAAATCCAATACCATGGTCTGGCGAAAGGGCAATGAAGCAGGTATAATCATTAGTACCACCAGCCTTGAGGTATAGGTCAGAGACACGGGTGCGGTTCGATTCAGGACCCGTGGGTAGGGTGAGACGCGTGATTTCCCAGGGCGCTCCGACAAGCTCGACAAGGGTGCCAGTGCTGCTGCGAGGTTTCATCCACTCCCGAGTAGTGGAAGATGAGAGGAGGTCGGAGTTGAGGATAGAGAGTCCTGCGAGTCGGAGGTCCTTGGCTGATGAATATATGCCACCAGATCTTATTTTCGTTAGCTTATTTCGCCGGGGGAACGAAATGTTGGGAAGCTTGACTTACCCAGCCACAATAGGAACATCAGTGCCCCATGATACGAGCCCAGTCCGGGCTACGGCATCCACATCTGTGCCATTAGGAACCACTACAGAGGAAGAATTCATTCCAAGCGGTTTAAATATGATATCTTTAATCGCGTCCTTGTACTCTTGGCCAGTGAGCCTCTCGAGAATCAGAGTCAGAACTCCAAAGCCAGCGTCCGAGTAGAGTGCACTTCGCCAAGGGCCCATCGTTGGGACTTGTGTATCCCGCATGAATTCAAGAAACGCTAGTCTTGTAAGCAAATTTCACATCCGCGATGGTATTATACTCACCCTCGCGATCGGCCCCGTCGAATCCCGGCTTAAGGTATTCTAGTATTTTTGTCAACATTCAGTGGGCCGCCTAAGGTGGCATCGTCAACTTACGTCCCGGGCCACTGGTGCCAGCCTGATGTGTAGCAAGTGCCCCCACAGTGATTTCACTCCAGTCAATTCTCTCCAACGGGTTGGTAGAGGAATTACCCAAGAGCTCGGGTAGGAAAATGGACACAGGATAGCTCAATGCCTCAATGCCAGCCTTAGCAATGATAGCATACACGGTGAAGACTTTTGTCACGCTGCCTGTTCTGAATATTGTATCCTCAGTCAGGTTTCCCTTTGTGAGCGTATCTTTGTATGTATCGCCGACATGGAAGTAGCTGTAAAGCGAATCATTGGTGGAGGCTGAAAAGACATCAACAGCAAAAATAAGGTCTGTTTTGTTCAAGACCTTGGTATCGAAGAGTTCTTCGACCAGGGATGGGAACTTTTGCTTGGCTTCAGCAAGGAAATTTGTCTTGGAAATGTCGAAGTTGGGGAGAAAAGAAGGACCAATAAGAGGAACATCATTGGAGAGGATGACGCTGGCTGTTGCAGAGCCAGCAAGGCCCATATAGGCTAAAGATTCAAAACGCATGTTGAGTGATATCTCCGAGATTCAATGGCTGTTTGATAGTCTCGTAAACTTGGGCAAGCTTTGGACTCTTAAATACAAATTGGTTTTTTAACATTGCAGCGCATATCGTCGCCAAGCAATTTGACATCATACCTGTTGTAAGGCTGAGAGCGGCACGTTGATACTGGAAAGAGTTTAGCCTCATCAATCCTGCGAGAAGTGGGCCAAGCAACAGGCCTGTAATTTGCTCGGCGATCCATTCATCCAGAAGGAGGTTTAGTTTCATTGTTTCGAGGAGCAAGACGATCTCACCTCCAGCATTTCCTTGCTTCTTTGCCTTCCTTCGCCTTGGCTGTGCAGTTACTGCCAGCGCATCGCCACTCGGCCACAACGGTTGACTGGTCCGATGACAGAGCTGAAGCTCGGCTGTGCCTTACTGACAAGGGTTGCGTCCCTGTTAGGGGAATGCCCCGGATGGACAGTTTAACCGATCCTCCGGAGCGCGCCGTGTGTCTTGAAACGGTGTTCATTTTTTGGCTAATACCTAGAGTCACATTTGATGTTTAATAAAGGCGTCACGGGTAGCCAAAACCTACTCTTACAGAGCAAGTTAATCTCTGCACAACTTTCAGGCAATGTTGTCAACTGCTGCGTGCAACAGCCTGTATGTTCTTTATTGTTAATTGACTTAGTGAGTAATTAGGGAAGACGCGCTGGGCAGATAAGATAAGAGAGAAAGTCTGAGATACCCTACACTTGGCTATTTTTATTACTGTATTTATATTACTTAATATATATAAATCCTTCTAAATTAACTATATTATATATTTACCTTCTTATATTGATTGAAGATATATTTAATCAATTACTTGAGAGCATTTTACAAAGCAGCATGATAACTGTAATGCAACACAAGAAGGACTCAAGTTTCAAGACGAATATGGCTGATTTGCCACTGTCATTAAATCTTTAACAAAAATGGTCTTGTTTACGGCGAAAACCTTGCTAAGATAGGACCCAACATCCGACACAGCCTCATCTATTAATGTCCTGCTTCGCAATAGACCGACAAGCTTGGAGTCGTGAACTTCGTGACCTCTCATCCCTCAGGCAGGCAAGTTCCGATCACAGCGGGGAATTCCTGTCCTGGCAGTCCGTAGCCCTTATCATAGCGCGCCCACTTTTGAGAACCAAGGGTGGGTACAGCTCGTAAACCCCGCATTCAAGCCTATCTCAGTTTAATGCAAGTTATGCTCACAATGCAAAGTTGGGGGTGATCCCGGAGGTCTCCGAATTTCCGATCATCATCAGTAAGCAAGTAGCTTGGAGTCAAAGGCTTCGTTCCCAGAGTGGGTTATTTTACCTCAATGTCATTAATGTAGATGTATTTAGTCGTTAAGGAATCATACTTAGTATCTTTGTTTATTATTCCATGCATTACTCAACAGACTGACTTTTCTTAATTGAGATTGTACTCATACCCAAGCTACAATACATCATGACGAAGCTTGAGATTCCTATCATCGACTTCTCTGGTAAGCAACAGACGTCAACTCTTACTAGCTCCCAGACTAAGTGATGTAGGTTTCTACTCAGAAGACCCAGCGGAGAAGAAGAAGGTTGTAGACCAGGTCCGCGAAAGCTGTTTATACAATGGATTTTTCCAGATCCTGGGACATTCTGTTCCGGTAGATAAGCAAGCGAAAGCCCTTCAGTGCGCCAAGAAGCTCTTCAACCTGCCTCTGGAGGAGAAGGAGAAGGTCTCCAAAAATAATAACACCTGGAACCGTGGTTATGAGATGTTGAGGTCACAGATTCTTGAGGAGGGTACTCAGCCCGAACTTAAGGAGGGTTTTTACATCGGCGATGAAATTCCCAAGTCTCACCCCTATTTCGTCAACAAGAAGCTCAACAGTGGCCCCAACCAGTGGCCCGAAGCTTTGGGAGACGATTTGGAGGACTTTAAGTTTCAGACCATGGATTACTATAGGTCAACACTGAGCCTTGCCTCTGATCTTATGCGAGTCCTGGCACTCTCCCTTGATCTCAAGGAGGACTACTTCAGTACCTTCCTCGATGGTGCTGTTGCTACCATGAGGCTCCTGCACTATCCCTCTCAACCCAAAGATGCTGATGAGAAGCTCACTAGAGGTATTGGAGCCCATACCGATTTCGGCGCTATCACAATGCTCCTTCAAGATGATGTCGATGGGCTGCAAGTTTGGGACCAGAAGAACAACACATGGATTGATGTAAGTCCTGTTACCCTTCACTTCAAGAAGAGATAAAGCTGACAACCACTATCAGGTTCAACCAACCAAGGGTGCATTCGTTGTCAATCTGGGCAATCTGATGGCTCGATGGACAAACGAGAAGTACAAGAGCAACGTGCATCGCGTTATCAACAAGACTGGCAAAGAGCGATACTCCATCCCAGTCTTTGTATCTGGCAACCCCGATTACGTTGTTGACTGTATTCCAACCTGCAAAGCACCTGGGGAGGAGGCCAAGTTCAAGCCAGCTACTGTTGAGGAGGTCGTGTCAGCATCTTACGCGGAGTCATACGGAAGAGCTCAGCTGTACAAGCAGGGCTTGGAGAAGAAGGCTGAGAGCAAGGTGGAAAGTACACCTCTCCAGCAGGTTGCAGCTTGATGTATCATTGTACATTACTACATATATGTTGTTATGTGTCTTGACTATTAAAATGATTCTTTCGGTGACCCGGTCCATTACATACTGTGGGATTTCTTGGGCTTCACTGATCGACTTAGGCCATGGGCCCTTGCATATCTCAAGCGGGAACTCCATTTCAGCAGTAGAAAATCCAGCATTTCATCAGTCGGAGCTCCGTCTGAGCTCCGTCTATCGATACGCGGTTGGACATAAGAGAAATGCTTCCCATCAATTCAAACGTCTTGTAAATAACTCGCTTGATTATTCTAGACTTCCTATAGATAATAAGGGGTTCATTAATTGAACCAATTATCATCGGTTCCATTCCATCTGTAATGAACCTGGGATCACATTTGATACGACGGCACTAAGAGAACTCTACCGACGGAATAGGAGCCTTGTCCGGAAGAGTCCCCTCGTATGATACTGAGAGTGAGTTTCCCGGATAGATACGCGGGTGGTAGGTTGGGGATAAGGCGGGGGTGAAAAAACCGTTGGGACGACTCTTGATTATCTCCCAGATTATTCCCCACTTAGATAAAGCTGTCAGATGCGACGATCCTACACCAGGTGCCCCCATTTTTGATGGTAAGTTAATGGTATGCCAAGTAAATGGTACCCTAAGAAGCTATACCAACCAATTGGGAATGATGTACTGGTTACGAACACCTCATACGAAGCCCACTTCTAATACGATGGCTGGCAGAGATTAGAGATCATTGGCTCACAGATCATGGTATCGGCTGCAGATACCGCAGTTACACAGCAAGTAGCCAAGCTATAGAAAGGGTGACCCTTGCACAATGACAAGTAAAACATGTAACCAGCAATCAACAGTTTCATTCACAAAAGAGCTACCCAGATATGATGGACAACAACATGGTCATAATGGCTTCTGACGACAAGCAAAAGCATCATGGCTCACTGGCCTTTGACCAGGAAAACGGTTCTCAGATTGTTGTTGATGCAGCTGCTGAGCGATCTTACTGTCAGTAGCCTTAGGAAAGCTGTGACATATCCCGCACTGACACTGGGTAGTGCGCAAAATGGACGCATGGCTCTTGTCCTATCTGAGCGTTATGTACTTTTTCAATGCTGTTGATAGAGTGAGTCTTAGCCCATATACCAGCGACAGTTCTAACGAAAACAGAGTAACCTGGGAAATGCGGAGACAGATGGAATGAGCAAAGATCTCAACTTCAAGGGCGAGGAGTTCTCACTTTTGATCCTTCTCTTTTATGTTCCCAACGGCCTCTGTGATCTCCCACTTAACCTGCTGCTGAAGAGGTTCTCTGGTAGAATCATGCTGCCCTCCCTCATGGTCGGCTGGGGTTCCATGGCCTTGCTGCAAGCGGCCTGTAAGAACTTTGGAGGCATGTTGGCCATCCGTCTCCTGTTGGGGTAAGTTGTGCTAGCCTATGTGGGATCATTATGACCTTGACCTGACAGCTCACAGTGCTTTCGAAGCTGGTTTCTTTGCTGGTGCGGTCTTTTATCTGACTCTATTTTACCAGCGTGGCGAGCTTGGCTTTCGGATTGCGATCTTTTTTGGCAGCGCCCTGCTTGCTAGTGCTTTTTCAGGTCTCATCTCATTTGGTGTCTTCCAGATCAAGGATCCTCATGTCCATGGTTGGATGTGGTTATTCATAATCGAAGGTACGTCAAAGACAATGCAAAAGCGAACTTGGAACATGAATTGTTGACCAGAGGGGTTTCAGGTACAATGACTGTATTGTTGGGAATTCTGGCATTTTGGTGGCTTCCCGCCGACCCGCAAAGTGCTTGGTTCTTAACAGAAGAAGAGAAGCACGTTGCAAGGCAAAGAGCTCTCCGCGATGGCAGCGGAGTTATTGGAGAAGAGTTCAATATCAAGGAATGCTTCAAGAGCTGGAACAGCTGGAAATTCGCTGTATGGTGTGTCATCAGCCTGACATACCCCGTCGCCTTTTCCACTACCTCCAATTTCCTGCCGCTCATTATCCGTCGTTTAGGATATAACACGGTGATCACCAACCTTCTGACTGTACCCCCCAATGTTGCGGGATTCCTGGTTCTTCTCGCAGTGACCTGGAGCTCCGATCGCAACAGAGAAAGAACACTGCATATTGTTGGCAGCTTGTCCACCAGTCTCGTTGGCTTACTAATTCTCGCCATCATTGATGCCGAAGCGCACATTGCAGTGGCCTACTTTGCTTGTTTCATGCTGTGTGCTGGGGCATATATCCCGAGTTGTCTTGTTCACAGCTGGCACAACAACAACAATCTCAGTGAGAACTCACGAGCGGCCACGACAGGTCTGCTCGTAGGTCTCGGTAACCTTGGTGGTATTCTATCCGCTGGAACGTTCAGGACCACGTACGCGCCCCGCTATGCACCAACCCTGATTGGCACAGCTGCTTGCAATGTCACCTGCATCATTTTCACATTGGGGTTGGGATTCTGGATGAGGAAGCAGAACCGTATGAAGAACGAGGCTCAAGGTGTTGAACTGAAGGCTGAGGATGTTGCTACTTCGGAAATCACTCATGGTGAACAAGATCCACGTTGGAGGTACTTTGTCTGATTCTGTACGGATTAACAGCACGGAGAAAGAACAAGAGATGAAGTAAGTTGATTTTGATTGTTGTTTATACAGGAAAACACTCCAAAACAATATAGCTTCTAGTCAAGTGGTAAATAGACTCGATCCCTCAGCCAAATGCTTACAGAGATTCAAACCAATAAAGCCTTTGATTTCCTTATTTTACTACTCATGAGCTGGGCCTCTGGGAGTTCTGACACTATTGCAAATTATATTTAGTACATGAAGCACGATATTCAACTAGATACTTACCAATACGATGCTAAGGAACAATACCTAGCATCGCCAAACATAAGTGCATGGGGAACCGAGGCCAGTACAGCTCGTCATCCCGTTAATTCCATCTCCGTCATACGTCCCGGCCTTGCCATTGCAGATTGTGGCTGGGTTGGCTACACTCTTGGTAACAACGCAAACAGGGCCAATATCGCTGTCGGCGCATGATCCTTGAATGTTCAGGATGGTGCACGTTGCCAGTGGTGCAACGAGAGCGAGTAGAACAACGGTACGCATAATGATTGATAAGTTGAGGATTGATGGGAGAGTATGGAGAGGGTTCAATTATGAGGGTTGGAAGATCCTTGCGTGGCGAGTTGATAGTTAAATACAAATACAGAGAGTTTCATTGTTCAACACAAAGAGCAAAGGATTCCAAGTATGTACATGTCATGCGATACTGAGACTAGCCCTTTCCCTTGGGTAACTAGTAAATCATCTTAAACTCGTATTTATCCTTCACTCAGATTGTTTAAGCTTCCAGCGGGGGTCGAGACTAGTCAGTGTCCCTGACAAAGGCAGGCATATAGAGTCGCATCGTCTGAAACCTGGCGGATAAGCTAAGCTAAGACCAGACCACCTCTTATTCTGTTTCAATGAGTGCAACAAGATCGCGATTTAATGAAACTTAATATAAAAAGAGTGTTAACAATATGTTTATCAAATAGAAGACATTTTTAACACTTTTTTCATACCAACAGACTATCTTTCATTTGGCTCCTGGCTGGCATGCCAGCGCTGTGAGTTCCTCAGGCGATGTTGAGCATGGAAGGTTTACAGGGCTTGTCACACGGCAACATGGGAGTTCCTAGCCAGGGGACTGGTCTAGAGCAGTGAACACAGTCACTGCAGTGCGCCACGAACTACATGCCTCAAACGCTCAAGTGCTGGCTAATGATAATAGAGTTTCGTATTTCTTTGGCTTTTCCTCTGCAATACCGGAGATTATGACATTACCACTTTGTGACACCTCCATCAACAAGAATATCGGAGCCCGTACAATAACTGGTGATTGGTCAGTGTAACTGAAAGTTTAAAAAACGGTGGCAATAACTTACGCGCTTGCATCACTGGCCAGAAAGACACAGGCCCCCTTGATATCATCCGGCTCCGCGACACGACGGTTCATGATCTCGTCCTTCCATCCCTCGATCAAGTCTGGGAATGGCGCTGTCATGGCTGTCTTGACATAGCCGGGGCTGATTGAGTTTACTCGGATCCCATGCTCTTGAAGCTCTGCAGCAATCGGTGCAACCATTGCTCTTACCGCACCCTTGGTACCGCAGTAGGCTGTCGACCTCTGAGATCGAATAGCCATATGCGAAGCAATACTGGCCACGAGGATAATACTTCCGCACTTGGTCTTGTTTTCGATCATGGCTTGAGCTGCCAGTTTCGCTGAGAAGTAAACACCCTTAGCATTGACGGCAAACAACTTGTCAAAGTCTTCCTCTTCTGTGTCGAGGAAATGCACATTCTTGTTGACCCCTGCGCATGCTACCAGGATGTCTAGTCTGTTGTCGAAGTCTGAAGCCACAGCGGTGAAACCTTCTTTTAGACTCGACAACGTGGTTACATCCACAATGTAGGATTTGATCTGGACCCCGTAGCTGGAAATCAGCTGTTCGACTTCAGGAGCAGAGGGCTCAATCACGTCGAATATGGCAACGTCGGCACCAGCTTCAGCCAGCCCCTGGGCAAATGCGAAACCGCATCCTCGACCTCCTCCAGTAACAACGGCTAAGCGGCCAGCCAGTGAGAACTGCCAGGCAATGTGAGCATATGATCTGGGGACGCAATTGGTCTCAAGTAACTGACTTTTGACATTTTGGACAAGGTATGGAATATAATTGGTTGATATCAGAATAATCGCAATGTGAAAGAAACTGTAATAATTTGACGTCCCCGATGTTCAGTGCAAGAATTCACATACATCAAATTGCCTTTGTAGTGAGTGAATCACGAGACTGGGTGTCTTTCTCGGGAGAGTTACAAAGTCTTGCGAGCCATCCGATTCGACCTGCAACCTCGTACCAGAAACTGAGTTCAAGAATGGGGGTGGGGGGTTGCAACGGGCTGTTCTCACAGACTCCACTTGTGATAACGCCAGATACCGCCAGCGTGAACTAATCTGATACCAATCAGGGGGTAAGTGGGGGTATGTCCCATCTCCCAAGTGCTGTAACACAAGAACCCCGCGTTTTGGGAGTATCTCTGAGCTCAAGTTATTTGGCATTGGACCTTGCCGAGTTGCAAAAAGTTGACGTCAAGAGTACAACTCCTAAGCATATTCTATTCACTTCCCAGACAATCAATTGGAAAAAATGGGCAAAAAGAAGGTTTTGGTCTGGTAAGGATTGTATTCGACCAATAAACATTTTTTTCACTGACCAGGGTACTGCTAGTTACGGGGTGGATATCGATGCCGTGGCCGGTTGGCTGGGATCATATGGAGGCGAAGACAGCACAAGCGACATTAGCAGAGGTCAGTAAAATAATGCGCGTTGCATTTTAACTTCTGACTCTCCGGGTAACAGGTCTCTGGGCGGGAACAATCGGTACCCGGCGCTTGTTGAAGCTTTTTGACAAGTACAACATTAAAGCCTCATGGTTCATCCCTGGACACAGCCTGGAAACATTTCCAGAAGAGTGTGCTATGGTCCGAGATGCCGGACACGAGATAGGTGTAAGTAGAATCTCATACCAATATCTCGCATTACGCTAAGCGGCGGCAGCTACATGGCTACAGCCACGAAAACCCCGTGGACATGACTTTCGAGCAGCAAAAAGATGTCTTGCACAAGACATGGAAGTTACTCACCGACTTCTGCGGAAAGCCACCCAAGGGAAGCGTGGCTCCTTGGTGGGAGACAAGCGAAGAAGGGACCGAGTTGATGCTTAGCTACGGAATTGAGTATGACCACTCAATGTCCCATCACGACTGTCAAGCATACTGGCTGCGTACAGGCGACGCATGGACCAAGATTGATTACACCAAGAAGGCCGAGGAGTGGATGAAGCCACTGACAAAGGGCAAAGAGACAGGCATGGTCGAAATACCTGGCTCTTGGTATATAGATGACCTGCCGCCTATGATGTTTATCAAGAACTCTCCAAACTCACATGGATGGGTCAACCCTCGGCAAGTTTCCCCTGAAGTTAGGTTTCGCTCAAACTAACAGGAGATATAGAGATGTTGAAGATATCTGGAAAGATCATTTCGATTACTTCTACCGGGAATACGGTTAGTGATCCACCAAGCTAGATGGAGGAAATGTTTCGGTTTACTGACATTCTACAGACGAATTCATCTTCCCAATGACCATCCACCCGGATGTCTCGGGTAGACCTCACGTTCTGCTGATGCACGAACGTATCATCGAGCACATCAACAAGCATGAAGGTGTCGAGTGGGTCACAATGGGAGAGGTCAGTTGCTTCTGAGTCTTAGGGAGTTCTGTACCATTTACGATACTAACGGTAATCAGATGAGCGACTACTTCAAGAGCAAGAATCCTGCACCAGAAGGCGCTCTCATGCCGGCCAGCCACGAGGAGGTGATGAAGAAGTTTCAAGAGTCGACGTAGAACCAGTGAGATTCTAGACCACCGCGCTAGGGGCCATACGCTGAGAGAAAACAAAGCCGAACATTAAGCATTATTAGTCATGAGCCTTAGCTACTATTGTTTATAATCAGTCACGCATCGGGCTAAAACGCGCATTCCTGTGGAATATCTTTCTCTTTTCCTTTTTCGCAATTTCTGTAGACAATTCGGCTTCCGCGGGTTCACGAACTTCACGATGTGGAATGGGGCCAGTGAAATGAGCGGACTTGGCAAGCCACTTTTCATTCTGTAGTTGTCCCGATGCCGACTCCGCAACAACAAGTCCGCAAAATGAACTGATCATGAGACCGATAAATGTAAAATATAAAATACCAGCAACAGAAGCCATAATAAATAATATCTCATCCGTATAAGTCATTTTCTACCTTGTTATATACTTAACCCAATCATCACATCATGGCGGTCAAAGCGGCATTCATCGGAGCGTGCGGCGCTACCTTGCGGCATGTGCTAGCATGGACATTACTCGATGGCCACAAAGCAGCTGCTCGTGAGTTCAAGTTCCCATACTACAGCTTTACAAGCTAATTCATCATATATAGTTGTTCGAGATCCGTCGAAATTGAAAAAGACTCTCTTGGATCTCGGCGTATCTGAAGAGATCCAACAGTCACAACTCATCGTTGTCACAGGATCATCTCGCGATGTTTCCACCGTCCGCAGCCTTCTTCTCAACGACCCCGAGATCATTTTCAGTGGCATCACAAGCACTTGGAAACTCCGATTCAATCCGTTCCACCCGATTGCTATGGATGATGCCACGATCACCGGCGACTCTGCTGCTGCGGTGATGCAGGCGTTAAAAGATCTTGTTTCTACCAACAGCATCTCAAATTCACCGATCTACGCCCCAATATCATCAACTGGACATGGCTCTCGTCGTGATCAACCGCTTAGCCTCATCCCGCTCTATTGGTGGTTGTTGAAAGAGGCTCAGATCGACACTGCAGCTCTTGAGCGTGTTACTCGTGAGGCAGCGACGCAGAAGGACTCTGGTCTCGGTGGTTATGTGATGCTTCGACCTCCATTGCTGACAGATGGGGAGATGAAAGGGACAAAGAAAGTACGTGTTGGGTGGATTTGGGAAGATGATGTTTTGAGAAAGAGTGATGAGCGAGAAACTGGTGTTCAAATTGGGTACACTATCAGTAGGTTGGACTTGGCAAGATGGATGTTTGAAGAGCTTATCCAAAGGAATGTCCAGAGGTGGAACGGGAAGTCCGTAAACTTGGTATACTGAAAGATTTATTGATTACTTTACGAAACCTATACTCACTATATGACTTTAAGTTATGTTCAATTTTAACCATTGATCATCAGCAGTCTCTAAGCAGGGATGCCACACACCAGCCGTGACCTGAAGCAAATGGTTGGAGAAGTAAAGGCTAAGAATGTACTCAAAGCTTGAATTTCGCAATTAGCGACTCATTGGGCTTTAACGCCTCTGACTTCCGTGGCAAGGTTCACGGCCTGACTCACAGTCTGGAATTTACTTCAACTTGACTTTGAACACGACACTTTATTTTGTAGGAGTATTGACTATATAAAGCCAGCGCTTTCTCTACCTAAAAGTTCGACTGCTAAATCTCATTCACACCTTTATACATCATTCTCGTTTATTTCACATCAGCCAGAGAAGAAGAGTTGCAATCTTGCATTACCCCTCTCCTTAGATATCTCGATCCTCGGAATGTACGTCTGTCCAAGCGTCACAAAGAGGGCCCCGCGGCCCCGACACGAAATCTTGTCTGAGATTCGTGGTCAACTGGAAGCATGCCACCGACAAGATATCTTTGTTGTAGACGCCCGAAACAAAGTCCGACCCTGTCTGCTCCGCACTAATGTCTGCTCTGACGATTGTCACGTAAAGGTGGAGGATATGACGTTAAGAGATTTGGAGGGTTGTTGCAATAGGACCGTGCCGATATATATTGTGCATCGCACCAAGCACTATTCACTACTCCACTGTGCTTTGCACAACTGGCTACACAACAAATGGTATCGACCATACCTGAATGATATTGAGTACCACCAGTTTATTGCGAAGCAATTTTACCAATGCAGACCTTCTCCCGATATGTCTGCAGTATCACTGGTCACGCTTATAAACGACCTGGATGGGAGAATCTGCGACCAAGTAGCGACATATCATCGAGAGGTCTTGACCCTTCCCTCACAACCCGCCACATTTGGGGGTCCACGCTTTCGAGATCAGGAGTTTTTAATCCTACAGCCGATATTCTAAGCAGTTACAATCATTCTTTTAGAGGACGACTTTGATATTCGTGTAACAGATGTGGGGAAGTTACCAGTTCTCATTACCCTCACAGGTGAAGACAGCGGGCTAAGCCAACAGCTGAACTTCATATCCATCAGTCAACACGTTACAAAGTTCATATCGGATACAGCAGTTCAGGTGCCTCTGCATATAGCCATTGACTTTGTCATTGCCCAGAATCAACGGGAAATTGCAGTCTTTGGTACCCAGCCCGACCCCGTGAAATCAACGCTGGGGTTTCGAAGCACCCTAAACGTGGGCCTTGAGGCCTTGCCTGCTGTTGTGAGGTCTCTTGGTGGAGGAGACGAACCGATTGAGATGCCGAGCTCAACTTGGGTTGATACCGCGATTCATACTGGTTGGCCTAGAGTCAACGCCTTAGATGATGAGAAGTGGTATCGGCGGGAAGAGACAAACGAGCGATTGAGGTTGCTTCGACGAGTCGCTGGTGAAAGCCCTAGCTATGTCAAGACGTTTGATCGCCGAAAAAGCATTTAATTGGGAGGCTTATGGCAAATACGCTAGCAGGGTGTATTTCAACTATAAAGGACGGCCAGTTAAATAAGCTATAAGTAATGCAAAGAGTTTAGCTGAGGTTATCTGAAGAGTCGATCCATCTTGTGACCTCACGTCAACTTGCCGGCTTTCGAAATCACATCAGATCTTTATGGCAGCTTCGTGGATTTCGTATGTACATTACAGGCCATAGGGCTACTTTAACATCCTTTTCACAACGCGATCGATTACATCAGCAGCCCCAAGCACTTTCTCCTCCTCGAGCTTCCGTCCAACGATCTGCAGCCCGACTGGGAGATTCATCGCAGCCATCTCGCCTTTGTCCTTGTTCCAAAGTCCCTGGTTCCATTCATCTTCAGGACCCCTAGCAGGATATGAGAATGGCGTGCCAACATCCTCTGACTGTATCGTTCCGCCAGGTATCACCATCGCGGTATAGTCAAGAACATTCCAGACCTTTGTATACCCAACCCAGCCGCATCCACCGTGCCGGACAGCGGTATGCGGCATAACGGGCATGAGAATCACGTCAGCCTTTCTGCCAGTGGCAGACTGGATGGAGTTCCACTTCTCCAGATATCCCTGTTGGAGATCCCACTTCTTCTTGTTGAGTTTCCAATATTCGTATACCGAAATTGCTTTGCCTTTATTCACAAGTCGCTGGACATGAGGGATGAATGGCTCTCCAGCCTTTGATATGTCCTGGCGGATATCTTCACCACCATCAGCGGTATAAAACATATCCTGTTCGAAGGTTAGTCAAAAAGGTCTCAAGTTTGAGGCTAGTATTACCATAGTTCTTATACACTGCTCATGGAGTTCGGTGTTCCATTCCACAATCTCATGGCCCTCATGCTTCAAAGCCTCAACTGCATCTCGCATTACTCGTGTTATCGGTGGATGTGGTCGAACGACCCCGTCGTCCATAAGAACACCGATAGTAAGTGGTCTACTATGCATTTCTTCATACAAATGACCCCGCCAAGGAAGCGGTGCACAGCGTGCATCATATTCCCATGGCTTTGACTCAATTAAGCTGTGCATGGCATGTTTGATCATGTCCAAGTCTCGTGCCATCGGACCAATTGAGGATGGAACATGTTCCTGTCCCTCTGTGGAAACGGGGACGCCTTGGTATGGTAGTCTCGTGCTCTGGTGACCAGTAAGCAGGATATTGGTGACTTCCCGAACATTAACAACTTACGCTCGGCTTCAATCCATATAGACCCATCATATGGCTTGGAATGCGAATACTTCCACCAATATCCGTGCCCCATCCAAGCATAGAGGCACCGCGAGAAATCAGGACAGCCTCTCCGCCTGTAGAGCCACCTGGTGTGTAATCCTTATTCATGGGATTGGTAGTCAACCCCCAGAGGGGATTCTCCGTCTCACACCACTAAATGCCTGTAAGCCAAGGTGCTCAGCCTGGATTGAGATCAGTCACTCACCATGATACTCTGTGGCAAGTTTGACTTGGCGAGAACGATAGCTCCCAGTGACTTTAGCATCTTTACCAATACGGCATCCTCAGTAGCGGGATTGAAAGATCGTCCGACATAGCCCAGGGTGCTATCATAACCTTTAATGTTAAATTGGTCCTTGAGAGTAACCACCAAGCCATGCAGGGGCCCGATCGGCTTTTTGCTGCTTGCCATGTAAGCATCAAGCACTTCAGCCTGTCGTAGCGCATCTTCGAAAGCAACTTCCGTTAAACTAGAGTCACTTTAGCTTTTGATGTCGGGGTTCATGAGGTGCATCTAACCAGTTGTGCTATTGAAACCCATCGTCGTTAGAAAGATAGTGCCTATCAATTTGTCACATTTGAATCACGCACCTCTTGGTGAACTTGGATCGCTCTGTATAGAAACGTGTTAATCAACTACACTACACTTAGAGTAATATTAATCACGTACCGTCCAATCAACCCTTGCACAACGGTTTTGCATGTCAGCTGCCCATTGGATACAAGGCTTAAACTCTGGGCTGCATCGGCAAGCTGGTTGATATCGACAAGCTGTAAGCCTTTGTTATTCTCAAGTTCCAATAAAGCCTTGGACAAAAGATCACACTGCAGTTGTTTCTTGCGTTCGACCGTGGACTGCCAAGGCAGAGGCTCGGGATCAATTGAGCCAGGTGCCATCGTGCTATTCTGTTAGAAAATTCTACAATAAGCCACTAAATTCCTCTTCTCGCTATAATAACACGAGACTTTTTCTGTAGGGAAGGGAGGTCGCGATCTGCAGCACGACCCCATCCTTGGATATACCCTGCCAAACCCCGCGCGTATGCCGATAAAAGCCAGGTTTTAGTCGAGTCAAGCCGAATCGCCGAGATAACGATAGCCAGAGGCGGTTGAGAATCGGGAGTGGGGGTGGACTCGACGCTAGTTAGCTTACTGATGATAGAGCCTGAGTGATCGAATGATGGTGCTGCTACATTGTCCTCAACGGATGAGACGACATTTAGCGGAAGACGCCGCAGGAAAGTCTTGAGTTGTCCGTTGCTAAGAAACAGGTTGATTGATATATCCGAGAGGTGAATGTGTTGATGAGATCAAATGATACACTGTCAAGCACCATCATCACTTAGTACAGTATCCATCCACATTACACCGCCAACACTTGCCCCACATGGCCATTACGACAAGCACGAATGGTCACAGCAACGGACATCACGATGCCGATATCCATGATGTCTGTGTTGTAGGAGCTGGCCCTTCTGGCCTCATGCTAAGGTGAGCTTCCGAATCGCTGTTCGCCTTTTGCCTGTCCGTACTGATGATTTCTCTAGTGTCGTGTTGGCAAAGCTTGGTCTCTCAGTAAAGGTCATAGATGAGAGGCCCGATCAGACAACTGTGGGCCGCGCTGATGGTATCCAACCAAAGACCATTGAGACGTTGCAGATGCTGCGAATTGGCGATGATCTTGTACAAACAGGCGTCAAGGTTCATGACATCTGCATGTGGCGAGGTTCACCAACTGAGGGACTTCGCCGTACAGGACGTGAAGTCCACTATCCATCTTCAGTGGTAGATGTGCTACATCCCTATATCCTTTTGTGCCATCAGGGAATGATGGAAGGAACGTTTATTACCGACCTGCGGAAAAGTGGTGTTGAGGTCACTCGAAGTCACACGTTTCAAGGCGTAACAGACTCTTCAGATCCTCATATTCTACAGATCGAATGCGACAAAGATGGTGAAACACGTACATCTATTCCAGCCAGGTATCTAGTAGGCTGTGATGGTGCTCGCTCAGCAGTACGCAACGCCATTCCCGGCGCGGCCTCTCAAGGAACGCCCCATAACTCTGTCTGGGGAGTTTTGGATGGAGAGTTGGATACCGACTTTCCTGACATCTGGAGCAAGACCGTCATATTCTCCGAGGAACACGGGTCAGTCCTACTTATTCCACGTGAGCGCAACATGACTCGCCTGTACATCGAGATGAAGAGTTCGGTCACTTCGAAAGGGCTCGGTCAGGAGTTTGTCATGGAGCAGGCACGTCTTATTATGGCTCCCTACACCGTCAACTGGACATCAGTCGAGTGGTTCGGCAACTATCAAGTATCCCAACGTTTCGCAACACGGTTCTTGGACCCAACTCAGCGAGTATTTATAGCTGGAGATGCTAGTCACACACACAGTCCAAAGGCTGCACAGGGAATGAACACCAGTGTCCATGACTCTTGGAACTTGGGCTGGAAGCTCAACCTTGCCGCGCGCGGTTTCGCCAAGGATGGAATTCTTCTACAGTCTTACGAGCAGGAACGGAAGAAGATCGCGGAAGATCTCATCAACTTTGACTTCGAACACGCCAATGAGATCGCTGGAGGCGACTCCCAGAGGCTCGCTGAGAATTTCCGCAAGAACACACGCTTCATCTCGGGAGTGGGGGTTGAGTACGGTCCCAATGAGCTGAACCATCCTCTAGATGCCGCTCCTGGTGGCGATGCTAAGCCTGGCTGTAATCTCCCCCAGGCAAAGGTTACGCGCTACATAGATGCTTGCCCAGTTGATGTTCAGCTTGATGTCCCAGTTCTCGGCCAGTTCCGAGTCTATGTAGTCGCTCCGAACCTTACGGATCATCAAGAGAGTGGCTTCATCAAAGGGCTCGATGAGTCTATCTCAACACCAAACTCGTTCGTATTCCAGCTTGGCAAGTCAGCGCAGGCTTCATATCAGCAGAAGCCTCGTGCCAGCCGAGCCGATGATGTTTACGTGCGGCCAGAGCGATACACAACAGTCAACCAACTAATCACATTTGCACTTCTGAGTAAGTAGAGTCTTTTCAATTGTCACTTGATCCCAGTAACTAACTTGCGGAATCTTCACAGCCTCTACAGATAAGAACGAGTTTGAGCTCTCAGACTTGCCTCCCACATTTTCCAAGAGTAGGTGGACGGTATATCTGGATGACGCGGCGCATTTGGATACCAAGCGAACTTCGTGTACAGAGAAGTGGCTTGGCTCTGTCGATCGTGGAGAGGTTTCAATTCTTGTGGTTAGGCCGGATGGTTATGTCGGTGCCATTCGGCGTATCAAGAATGCCAGTTTCGAGGATGGTGCCGCGGCGGTGAGTTGGCTCGACTCGTACTTTAGAGGGTTTCTGCAGATCACTTCTGCCTGAACTCACATTTGAATGAAAGTCCTTTAACGAGATACTATGTCAATTGTGTTGAGATATGAAGCCAAGTTCATGGAAATCACGGGCTAGACACTCCTCGTTCAAGTTTAGAAAATGCGCAACAATTTCGGGTCAGTATCCAAGAAACACTTGATCAATTTTGCCTGTCAGAAATGTCACTTTGAGTGCCAAATGCTCGATTGTCCGGGTCATACGCGCTCGCGTTTTACAAGGCAGAGTAGTGAAACTCACTTTGTTCAAGGCCGTCGCCTCGCTTCTTCCAAGTCCAGACTCACCGATGAATATGAGATCACTCATTATTGGTTCTGAAGCATTCTACAGTATCAGTATCTG